ACACTTGTGGTACTAAATTCATTTGAAGTACACTTGGACGTTGTGTGCTGATAGTAGGTAAAATATTGCTTTCTGTACATTCCTCAAAATGTCCATTACTACTTGCTGGAGAGAGTGATGCTTCACTATATTGACTTCCCGGACTTCTTGGATTTCTATATAAATTTTTTGCAGCAGTTATATTGATAATATTCACAGATTTTGTAATGGAACTTCTCACTGAATCTGTTTCCGGTGCAACTAAAGCTATTGGCGGAGTTTTTACAGCACGTTTTCTATCATTTGTACATGAAACTCGTTCCGGTGTGGCACTTAACGGTTTACCATTTAATTCGTGTCGTTTCTGTAAGTCCTCAATAAGGTAAAGCACAATACGCTCTAATTGCTGAGGATTTTGTGAGGCAGGCACATCTTCAACTGAATTACTGGGCATTTTGGTTTGAATAAAAATTGAAAATTTTCTTTTCATTTCTTGTACTCTTCGGCGTCCAACATCTTCATCTAATAGCGTATTAATACAAACAAACGAATGTACTCTGTTAGTTGTTTTATCAATTTCAAAATATCCTTGAGTTTGCAGGTAAATAAATTGCCCATTACGTGATAACAGACGATAACAGCTTTCTCCGTAATCTGCAACGCCATCGTACATTTGACGTAACGCAACTATAACCCATCGTACATCATCTTGATGAATAAAAGAAAACGGACTGAGATTGCGCACCTTAAAAAAATTATTTTTTTAATAAAAAAAGAAAAAATAAAATTTTTTATTATCACATTTACTAATTTGCTTTAATGCGATATGATTAAATTTATATGTATATGACCTTGAACAAATAAATTATGTGACACATGTGTACATATTGTCGTTTTCAGACATATGCACATATGGTTCACTTGATAACACTTTTATATCCTTGATAATATTTAATGTTATTACCTCTTCTTTCATATAACCAGCTACCAAACCGATTCGCTGATCACAATCAACTATACGACCATCTATTAAATGTCGTGTTCGGTATTCCAAAACATTGCCCTCAATGAGACGATTACTAACAGAAGGTGGTTTGATTAAACGTGCTATTGCCACAAGCACAATATCATTACCGCTGATGCCATGTAATGCTGCCTGCGCTATCGCATCATGTTGTAATACACTAGGTCCACCACAGCTAGCCGCGCCATTATTACGCGATCTCCTTATCAGCTGCGAAACAATTGGAAAGTTGCCTGCTGATGTTGAAAAGTCACTTCTTCGAAAGCATCCCTCAATTTTTACAAATTCGTAGCGCGTTTCTTCCGAGCGTGTACTCGCTCGCGCCAAACGTACAATAAAGCTTCTTTTATCACTGCGTAATTTTTGATCTATTTTAGCGAAGTTTGTCTGTGTTTTTGAATTGGGCGTGTGATAATACGTATTTTTCACATCGTGCAGTTCGTCTGAATCGTATGCTTCATCATATTCTTCATCTCCAACGCTTCTGTTCATATCGTAATTGTTACGAAACAATGACTCCATATCGCGAGGTATTAATTGTTGACGCAATATCGCCTGATCCTCATGATGTGTTATATTCAAAATATTTTGTCCATACAAATCTGACTGACAGTGTCCTAAAATCTGCTCCACACTCGTAGAAATAAGTACTATTTGCCCGTGACATGTTAAGGTTATAAAAAAACTATTTAATAACTGCATTAGTGTATCGGTAGTATGAGGTTCTGCGTATATGCTCTCCTCACTACGCATTTTTTTTACACCCGATTTCCCAAACACATACTGTAATCTTAAGCCATGTGCTGCGAAACGTAATACTGCTGTTTTGTCTAATCTCCGCGCTGAGTCCGCTACGTGTGGCACCATCGTGGCTAATTCCTGTATGCTAGCATTTAGCTTATCTCGCCGATGTTTTTCAGCAAGATTACGGGCCTCCCGACCATTATGTGGCACCGCCACGCCCTCCGCTATAGCGGCACCAACAGTGGACATTGTATTCATTTCTTATTTAGAAATGTTGTATTTCTTTTTTTCTAATAAATTTCTTTAACTAGATTCCTGCTGGATCAGAATTTTTAAGATCTCCATTCCTATTACACTACACCTATTTACGTTTCGCTCTTGTTTTTTTCAAGGTCTTCCTGTTGGTGGTTTGCACTTTTTCTTCCCCTCTCTTCTCCTTCTCATAAGGCTACTTTTCTGAAGTTTTCTCTTTACGTTGTTGCGTGTCCCTTTTATTTATTTTAAACGTTTTTAAACTTAACTATTCATACGTTTCTTTATTTAATTCTATATATTATTGATTTTACAATAATTTTAACGACATATTTTCACGTATAAATTTAAAATGTTTATTTTTCGGTTTTATCATCAAATCACACCAATCAAAAATTTCCTTTCTTAATTTTTGTTTTGTTATATCGTCGTAAATACGGTATGTTCAGTGCATGTTTACACACTTCTTTTCTCATAATCATATGGTACTTGACAATTTATATAATTTTGTAAAATTATATAAAATTTATGCTATGTGCTTCTTTGCGACTTTTAATAAGCATGCTGAACTCGTACTAAATTATTTAAATAAAAGTGTCTATATAAGTGTCTATATGTCTACATAATAATTTAGCAAATTAACATACTTTAGGCCACACAATTTAGCATATTAAATAAAAATAGTTATGACTCTTTCTGAGTTTAATCATTTATGAGTACTAATGATTTATCAATTAATTTTCTTTGAAATCTAATAGCACATATATACTGTCTCATTTAAGTGGTTTTACACATGACAGCCACTAATGAGGATGATTTACCATACAAAGTTCTTTCATATAAATGAGCTCATTATCAATAAATCAGCTCATTTAAAGCGAAAAATGTCGAATGCAATCCTTAAAAATAAATATCCCACAAAGGAAATCACCAAAATTTGAAATATTTGTCATATGTTCTATATGTAAAATATAAACAAACAGCTGACCTGTAAACAAAGGCACTGAGGAGGTAAGTATTTAATAAAATCTTTATTTTTATAAATTGAATATGTAATTGATATATAAAATGTATATTAATGATTTAATATATCAATTATATATATACATTTTTTATGTAATAAATTATTAACGCTCGCAAACGAACTTTTGGAGGTACGATTGCCCTAGAATATTCGCTCATTGCACCCTAATGTAACAGCGTATTTGAACATAAGTTAAGAAGCAATAATCATCATAATGATGATAACCTGATATATAAGTATTATATATATATTTATAACTACATTTTTGAAAACACTATTTTTGACACTATTTGAGTAACATCGTTCACTAGCAAAAGATAACAAAATATTTGAAAAACAACTGCTTTTATAATCCATTATAGACTGTATTATCATCTATGTATTATATAGACTCCCTTCGTTTGAAGCTAACTTTGGGAAAACAATTGGTAATCGTCAAGCAAAATGTATACACTGGAGTTTCATTTATAACACTCTAGACATTTCGGCAGAGTAGCAAGGTTACCCTGAAATTAACAGCTGTTTTATATGACTTGACAAGTATGAAAGTATAATTAAATTCGATATATGCATTTATGCATATATTTATGCAAATATGCATTTATGAAATAGATAAATGTGTACTGACACTACGACAAGAATGTTAGATTACAACAAAATTTGACAGATTGAATCCAGATTTACCAATCGAAAACGAAAATAGTGAAATCAGATTGACTTTCTCTTGCAAAAAATTTCGTGAACCTTGGTAACCCTACTTCGATAAATTCCATTCATTAATTCCAAGAAGTGAATGTATGAAAAATCAAATAGATAAACAATTAAAGAACTCTTTAATAAGAAAATGTTAAATTAAAGACATAATTTTTTTAAATGTCACCAAGTTCTCCCATTCAAAAAGTGTGGAAGCCAGAGTGTAAGATTTATATTTTATATATATATTTCAAATTAATTGGTTTGCGATATTTTAGTGTATAAAATACAACTCGAGGCCCCTACACCGAAACCATTACGACGTACTGAACCAATTACTGGTTTAGGTGAGCCCTGTTATTATGGAACAGAATATTTTGGTGAAATGGGTCATCAGGTAATTATATTTAGACAAATTCAAAAATAATACAATATATAATTAAATATATATATTAGGCAGCAGAATCATTGCTTGAAAATACTCCAGATGGTTCCTATTTGTTACGGCGAAGTCCAAATGCACAAGAGTATTATACATTAAGTGTACGATTTAATAATCGTACAAAACATTTTAAAATATATTTTAAAACTGGCGAAGGGCACTATTTGCAAGAGCAAGCAAAGCATTATGATACGATACATGAACTGGTGGCAGATGGTTTAATAAACTTCCATATGCAACTCCATGCAGCACCTATAATACAGCAAATTAATCAACAAACGCGAAATTGCTACCAGCAAAGCCCATATATGACTTTAAACAGAAGAAAATTACGCGCCCTCTCCAACGAACTTCGCAAGTCAATAATAGCTAAAGGTAATTGTGAACCAGATGCGAAAAGTGGCAACAACATTGCTGTGACTAATTCCACTTCAAGCAAAGACAATGATGCAGATTTAATATTGCCACTTATCTATGAGAAAGCGCATACATTTAAAATACACACATTTAAGGGTTTGAATTGGTGCGAGTTCTGTGCAAATTTTCTATGGGGCTTCACAGCGCAAGGTGTGAAATGTGAAGCATGTGGTTTTGTAGCACATTCTAAATGTTCTGAATTAGTTCCAGCAAAATGTGTTCCAGATCTAAAAAGAATACGAGGAGTTTTTGGCACAGATCTTACAACAATGGTGCAATTATATCAGTGTCTAATACCATTCGTAGTGAGACGTTGCGTTGAAGAAGTAGAAGCGCGTGGAATGTTGCAGGAAGGTATTTATCGTGTTTCTGGATTTGCTGATGAAATTGATGCACTAAAATTAGCTTTGGATCGCGATGGTGAAAAGACTGATATGTCAGAGTCAACATATGGAAATATAAACGTTATTGCAGGAACACTAAAGTTATATTTACGTCTGTTGCCTGTGCCTTTGATAACATTTCAAGCTTATCCCAGCTTCATGCAAGCGGCACGTAAGTATATTGTTATTTTCCATTTTTATACTCAAATTTATGGTAATTAATTTATTTAGGAAATACCAGCATTTCTGATCAAATACGAAACACAAACGTAGCTGCCAAGAAGTTGCCTTTAGCACATTATAATTGCCTTAAGTTTATGATGGAACATTTGAAAAGGTAAAAAGAAGAATTGCATTTAAGAAACACTTTTAATTATATATTAATTATTTTTTAGAGTTGCTTCCCATTATGCTGCCAATAAAATGAATGAACACAATTTAGCTACTGTGTTTGCGCCAACTCTTATAGCCACTCCGCAGCATATGACTAATTTAACTGAAGAAATATTTATGTTATCGTCACTAATAACAAACTGCGAAGCAATTTTTAATTAGTAAGCAAATTTAACAAATTTCCAATTAGCACACACATTTTATACATTGATCGCATGCATTATTATTCCACGAAATTACATTTCTGTAAGCTTAAGTTAAGGACTTTTATATGTATTTTATTTATTATGAAAATGTACAACATGCAATAATATTAAGTCTACAAAGACCACGAATTTATATTAAATTTATATATAATTTAAAATAATTGAATTTTTGGAACAAAATTTTACATTTCTATAAGTATATTTATTATTCTATAAACAATGTGTATTATAAATCATGATATGCAATAAAAAAGAAGCATTACAAATTGTTATTTTAATTTGTATAAATACATTGTGCGTTGAAAATATGTACTAAGAAGGCTATTTCATTACTGTTTGGGTATGAATTTTACCCTATCGACTTTACATTACTGTAGCTTAATTTTTTTCAAGTACTTATTTTAATTATCATCGCCATCCTGCGTTTGAGTCAATATAATCAGTACCGAATCAAAATTATAGGAAATATGGTGTAGTATTTTGCGGTGGTATGACTCTCTCTGTCTCAGGGACAGCCCAAAATATACTTGTTGATCGATCTGTGGCAGTTTGGAACTTTAATATAGCTGCTACGTTACCACAACGATAACAATAGTTTGGTGCCGACCACACTGTCACTAACTTTCCATCAAACATATATTTTATGCCTTCATTCACTAACTGATGAGCACGACAAATTAGCTCCAAATTATTTATAGACATAAAATCTTTTGTCACTAATTGACCAAAAAGCCAACCAGCGCCTCGTGGACTTTGTCTCCTTTAAAAATCAATTTTAAAAACAATGATTCACACAATAAGCACAGAAACTTTGTACTTACCAAAGGTCCATGTCTTCTGGATCTGACCAAACTAAATCACAGAAAGCACCTTTATAAGGTATTTCGCCATTTCGCTCAATGGTGCGTATTTGATCTAGGGTAATAATTTCTGGACTTAGTCCTCCATGCACGCATAACACCTCCTCGTCAATAATCTAATTACAAAAAATATTTACATCATTATTTAATAATATATATTTATTAAATTTTATCTTACCGCTGCTACTGTTAATAAATCAAACACTTTGCAGCAATATTTCCAAGCATTTGAGTTTCCGTATTTGCTAAAGCACTCATCATAAAATCCATATACTTTAGTAATTTGTCTGGATTCATGGTTCCCTCTTAGTAGCGTTATGCGATCTGGATAACGAGCCTATGAGAAAAGCAATTTATTGATTTCTAAAAATATGTCAAGATTTCACAATACCTTCAGCGTCATAAGTCTTGTAAGTGTTTCTAAACTATAATAACCCCGATCTACAAAATCTCCCATAAATATATAATTAGTATCGGGCACTGGACCACCAGTTCTAAACAGTTGCTCCAAATCATAGAACTAAAAATACATCGAATATAACAACCAGCATAATCAAAGATTATTTCTTTTATTACCTGCCCATGAATGTCACCACATACTGTAACAGGTGTACTAACTGGTTGAATATTCGATTCCTCCAACAGAATTTCACACACAATATCACATAATTTTTTCAAATCATTTTCTGGCAAATACTTGCAGTCCTTAACTATTTCCACCCATTTATCTAGATCAGTCATGTTGAACGCAGTATTCAGGAAAACTTGGGTAAATGCAACAGAAAAATCTCTTGTTGTTGTTGTTTTAGTTGTCAACGTGAAATATGTCTCTCTGAAATGAAAAATGTTGCCACACTGCTTTTATTTGCATGCATGAGATCTGAGGTTATCTTCATTCAACTTAATTAAGTGCTGCAGTTATAATAAATATATATCCAGTTCCAATTAACCATGATGGAAAAGCACCAGACTTATCATAAAAAATAAAAAATTTCAGTTTAATAGAAAAAATATTCTCTTTTATACTTAATGTTGTTGATATATGAGTATTCTAAATTAATAGTGGTTGTCGAAATAAGGTTTCAAGTGCCCCTTATTGGAGGTCTGTTCCACGAGCTACTCGTAGTAACTTTGAGTAACACTATGTATACACAAGTGCGTTTCACCAACAAATTTTCAAGTAAATAAAAGCATCTAAGAGAGCGTACATCGCTGTCGACTTTTGAAAATACACAGACTTAACTCGTACATTTTATTTCAAGTAAAATTTTTGTTGATGTGTGAATCAGCTGTTTTGGTTTAATTTTAAACTGGTGTTCTCACCAGGCTTTACACAAAGCTTTTCCATGAAAATCTGTGTAAAGAGCGTAATTTGGCAGTTTATATGTGTTACGCTCTCAGTTTGTACTTTACTTGTGTTTTATTTGATTTTTACGACAAGTAGCTCGTGGAACAGAACTGTAATTAATCTCTATCGTTACACACCATATATGTGATTGCCTTTTATCAGCCAAAGAAAAATTATTTTTTTAATTTATATACTTATTACTAATAGTATTTAAATTTATACAATATTATCAGCTGATATAAAAATTGATCAATTGCATTGCATTTCTTTGTGTGCGGGATATTTGGTAACCGGTTTAATCTTCTGTTATATGTTTACAATTTGCTGTCATATTTACTCACTTCTTTAGAGTTCTGACGTTTACATTTTCAACGTTCGCTATGTCTACATAATGAATTCAGTATTCAAAGGTAAATCTGGCAATTGTAACTTTTCATGTTGAGAACATATGGGCGTAACTTATAATGAGACACAAAGAGTTTCATTTTACTTGATCTATTAATTTTAAGAGTTCTTACGGTTTTTGAAACTGAATGTTGCAATTCATAGTTGTAATGTTTTATACCCAATTGTTTAAAAATCTAGTATAACATTAAGTTACAATAACAATGCCATATATTTCTTAACATGCAGTGAATAAAAACTTTCTGAAGTCTTTACAACAGAGCTGTCCAAAGTACGGCCTAATGTTTGTATGGCCCGCGTTTGTTTGTTTTTTATCTACTACAATTACGCAAATTTTCTTTTGGTGCACTGGTAACACTATATTATTTTATTTCTATGATATAACAAATAAATGAATTTAAATTGATAAATTAATAAAACTAAATTTAACGTTATAACCATATTTATAATATGATCTATTTATAATAACAGCTATGAACGTACGTATTATTTTCTGCTGCCCTCCAACCTGTACAGTAATTTGTATTGGCCAGCGATCGCATATTTTCTGGACAGCCCTGCTTTACAATATTCAACAGAATTAATTTTTGTTTTATTACACACACCATATAGATATCCATATTATAATATATTTATATTATTGAAAAATAAAAAACGTTTTGGTTATTAAAATTAAGAAAAACTGTTTACTTTTCACTTGCTGCACTCCATGTTTGATCTGCTACAATGCAAGGCTTCGAACATGATTGTTAACTTATAGACAGTTAATGTTAATGACGTTAAGCACTCTGACAATTATTTTCATCGTATGCCATACCTGTTTTATGCTTAACAAAATGTTTGTTATTAAATAGAGTTTTGTTATTAAATTTTAGAATTATTTGTTTAAAAAATGGCTTGCAGATTATGTTTAAAAGATATAAGTGACAAAATATCTATACCATTGTTTGTCGAAAATAGCAATACTCAAACAGAAATACATAAAATGATTACAAATTTTTTTGATTTCACTGTAAGTATTGAGATATACATTGACGAAACAAATTATCAATAAATTTGGTTAATAGATTTCGTATGACGATGTTAAGTCAACGAATATTTGCGAAGATTGTGCTAATAAAATAAAAGCATTTGAAAACTGGCGTCAGTATATTCAGAATCAACAAAATAGTTTGCAAAATGTGTTTGTTGAAGTAAATTGTTGTTCCAATACAAAAACTGAAGAACTCGAAGACATCGCGAACCCAAAAATAGAAGATTTTTATTCTGATGACGATTTTGACGTTGTTAACTGCAATACTTTTTTAAGTGGTAATAATTAACATAAAAATCTTTACAAAATTAATATTTTGCTATTTTTTTTAAGATGATGAACATAATTTAATTAATGATTGCGTTAAAGAAAAACATTATGTGGGTATTAAAGGCAACCTAATTACCAATATTGATGGGAACGACGAATTGGAAGAATATAACAACATAAAACTTGACTTATTTTCAAGTGGTAATAATTATATTTTTTAAGATTTTATATATTTGACAAAACATATATACGATTTTTTTTAATATACCCGTAAACATAGATGACGAAGTTCCCTTACTAAATTTTGTATTGAGTAAATCAAAATTGAAAAATTCTAAACATGAGAAACGCATTAATACCAATACTTTATGTGAACCTATTCCTTCAACTCAACATAATAAAATTAAAATCGTAGAAAGCTTTATACAATTAACATGCGATGTATGCAAAATTAGCGTTGAATCCTACGACGCCTTACAAAGTCATTTTAATCTTCTCCACAACATTCCTCCATATGTGAAGTGTTGCAGCAAAACATATACAAAACTTAATCGCTTAGTTGAGCATATTGAATGGCATCAGAATCCAGAGAAGTTTAAGTACACTTTTATGAATAATTTCAATAAAATATATAGTATTAATATATTATACTAATCTATTTTCAGATGTACTATATGTAATAAGTTAACCAGTTCAAAGTCATATTTAGAAAAACATATCAATTCTCATAGTTTGAGAGAAAGGCCAAAACGAAATTGTTCTATTTGTAATAAGGAATATCGAGGTAGCAAGTGTTATAGAAGTCATAACCTAGAGGAAAAAGATATAATGGAAATAAATTGTGATTTATGTAATAAATGGTAAAAAGTACTTATTAATTAAAAATAAATTTTATTCTTATATTATTTAAATAATACATTATTACAGTTTTATGACACCTCAACGTTTACGCCGGCATATCGATTCAATACATAATAACATTTGCCCTTATGTATGTGATATATGTGGAAAAAAATATAAATTTAAACCCTCGTTTGATAGACATGTACTTGAACATCAAGGAATCGTAGAGCCTCCACAACAGTGTGATATATGCAATGAATGGTTAAAAAACAAACATAGCTTGCGATTGCATCGTTTTACACATATGGATATCAATACGGATTGTAAAATTTGTGGGAGAACTTGTCCAAGTAGAACAGCTTTATTACGTCATGTAAATTACTCACACAAATTGCAAAAGAATTTATCCTGTAATTACTGTGATAGAACATTCAAGCAAGAAAAAAATTTAAAGGTTTGTTGCAATAAACTACAAAAATGTTAATACAAAATTAATAAAAAAAAATAAATATCAATTCAAGGAACACATGGCTATACATACTGGCCTGCAACTTTACTCTTGCCCGCATTGTGCAAAGGAGTGTAGATCGAAATCCAATATGTATGTCCACATTAAACGCAAACATGTTGATGAGTGGTTGAAATCTAAAATTGCTAAATCAAACAATCCAAATTTAAAATAATTTATAGATGTTAAGGTATATGTTATGACAACTGACTACATATGTATATTAAAAGCCAACTTAACAATATATACATTCGTTTGAATTTTAAATATTACTTTAGTCGCTAGTATTGTACACTTAAGGGCTACTTCACATCAGTGTGGATTGTAAAACTAGACATAAAATTTGAATTTGGATTAAGCAAAAGCTAAATACAACCAAATCAGATCTTGCTTAGGCATCAATCATTTGTAAAAATAGTTTCTGTTTAGGAAATTATTTCTTTCCAGAGAAGTATGTCTTCCACATCTCTTTATGATGAAGCTGATCATACTGATGAAACTATAACTGTATAAGACAAGTATAACTCAATATTCATTGTTTATATGTCATAAGCTAAGAGTTGTACGGTGGATTAACAATGCGATCGGCTAAGATATGATAAATACATTTGTACTATGCGCAATCAATGCTGATCTTTACATAGTTGATTTGTCATGTTTGGTGTAGCACAGATGATTAATTGATGTTCAATTGAAATTAGGAAAAAAAAGAACTAAAATGAGTTCCTTGTAAAAAACTAGTATATAACAGATTTGATTTAAAATAATTTCATTTTAAAAACAAAATATTAAATTGTCTTTATATTATATAAACAAGTATATAGTTAATGAACAAAAATAATAATAGAATTATTCAATTAAATTTCTTCGACCGAATTCAAGTTAAGTCGAAAAGCAGCTAATTTATGTTATAAAAATTTGAATATGATTATTAAATAACGTTCAGTATCGTCTTGGTCTGAAGTTGGTATTCTGAAACAATTCTAATTTAATTGAATCGAAAAATAAAGATTATTTGAATTTAATTAATGAAGAGGCAAAAAAAAAAATAAAGTGTTAATTTGTTTATATGATAATAGAAAGAAATAGAAAGGCAGTGAAATATATACATATACACTGACAATCTTAACTATAATCGAATTATGTTGCCAAGTAAAATTAAATAGAATGTTGGTGCCAGCTCTACTGCTATACAAATTCTACTTTTATCCTCCACATCACCACAAGCTTTTTAAGTAACTACTGAGTTCCCTAATATTCTAACATGTAACATAAGGAATATTCCACACGTACTTTAATACAAAGTAAATAAAATAATTAATATTCCATATACCAGAATATGTAAATAAAATGAATCTTTTGTTATAATATTGAAATTAATAAAAAAAACATATGAAATTCGAACATCAATATATTTTTATTCCAACAAAATGGTCAGCATATTATTTACTAGATTTTTACTTGAAAGCGTTCCCGTAGTATCAGCGTAAAAAGCTACTTTGAGAGAAAATACAATTTTATTCTCATTTTTAACTTTCACTTGAAAAGTTCGGGAGCAGAGCTATTACTTACACTCAACTTACATTTGAATAACTATTAAAAAAAGTGCAATAAAAAATATTTTTAACAGAAAGTGTATTCGTTTAAATTAATAAGTAGGTGAAAAGCATCGAATGTCATAATATAAGACTTGAACCCACTAAAACCACCTCTTAGGAATACAAAATGGAAAAATTTCAGCAGTTCAACCATAAAGATCAAGAGCTGAAACCCCATTCCAATAGTTAAAAGAAAGACAGACGTAACAATACGGAAAACTTAGCATTTAGACTAAGATCGTGTGCGAGTTCGAGTAAAGTAAAGTAAAATTTCCTAGGCATTTATGTAAATATTTATTTATTTATTTATTGCACTTATTTATTATTTTTAGTTAAAATTTTCAAATTTATTTATATATTAAACATCTTATAAAACTTTCACAATGGTAACACCTAATTTACCTAGTTTGTATCTAATTTACACTACTCAAAATTCTGGTAAATACCAACATTCGCTGCCGGCCCGACATAATTTATTTATTTAATTTAATTTATTTACTATTTCCCTCAATTTATCATCAATTTACCCAAACTCGCACATTGTTTACATATATACCTAAACTAAACAAAGGAAAACTTCTGTATTCACTCGGGCATCTATTTAATTTTGTTCTATCTGATAATTTGTTGCAGTGTATAATTATTGTGAATAAACATCTTTAAGAAGATTATTGTGAATAGTTGTTCTGATATGAGTATTTTGTTTATAAATGTTTTTCTTATTTGCCGTGATTAAAAATGATTTGTTGCTTGTGTTTAAACGAATTGGAATATGAGACTGCAGTTGCATTACCAGAAGAAGACAATTCAACGAAATCTTTAATTAAATTGATTTTAAATTATAATCGATTAAAGGTACGTAATGTTCTAATTCGAATAAGGTGGTTGTGTGTGAATTGGGATTTCCCACAGGTTTCAGACAGCTATTTTGAAGCTACAAGTTACATATGTCTCGAATGTAACGAACGCTTATTTGAGTTTCATCAATTTTGCTTGTATGTAAAAAAGAAACAAAATGCTATAAAAATAAATCGTTTAGAGATTATATTACCTTTGGTAAATGAAAATGACGAATACATAGAAAATATATCGAATAATGGTGAAGACGTATATAATGATGAATCAAATGGCTGTGTAGATGGTATATCGAAATAAACATTTCTACACTTCAACTTTTATTCATTATTCATTTTAATATATCTTTAGAACAAGCACAATGTGAAAATGTGGAAGAAACTAATAAAGTCCAAAGTGAGGATAGGAAAAATTGTTTGAAATGTAATATGTGTAATAAGGCTTTTCAATCGAAGATATGGTTACAACATCATAAAAAACGTGTTCATGAACAAAAAATTAATCGGCTATGCAAAATATGCAATCAGAGGTAAATTCATATTTTTAACTTTATTGTTAATTATATAAAATAAAAATAATTAGAAATGTAAATACCTGGGTTAGGATATGGTTGCATTAAGGAAGCGTAAAAAGAAAGGATTATTATTTAGGAAGCAAGAGTACGTGAGGTTTTAATGAAAGTTAAACTGGCTTATGATAGAAAAGCTTAGTCGCTTCAATGGGAGAGAGTATAAGAGCAATCAAGCTTAAATTGGGTGCTGTGGGTTATGAAAGCATTGGGCGACATCATAGGGCGCTTAGAAATGCAGTTGATGCACACATTATAAGTTGACACATTTATGCATGACAAGTAACTGTTTAGCACATAGCTATATCCTGACCTCAATTGGGCTAGAACCGTTTTTATTTCACGGAGAAGACGACACTCTTCCAGGGATATGTTAGGCGGAAGTCTGTTGACTTTGTTGCAATAAAAAAATAAATCCTTTCCAATTTTTGTTTGATAAATTTCCAGATTGCACAATTAGATTAGATTTGAAGATATTACGGTTCTAAGTAACAAGTACGGCGGTGCACTGCAATCAAAAAAGATATTAAAAATAACGAGAACTAGACAGAAGACAGACTGACCAATTGGCATAACAAAATATATACATATACATTTATTTAATAAATTGAAAAGATATGTAGTTGCTGACTAGCTTTCCTATTGATTTACTACTGCCTGTGAAAACTTAGATATGCAATACATGGGTATCTATTTTTGGATAGGTTAGAGTGGGACGGCATCCAACTTATAATTTAAGAAACCGATTCAGTTACGTATATAGAGTCTATTACATATCATTAATATTCTTAGAAAGTTTACCATTGTTAACTAAGACTTCTAAGATATAATATGATACTCCTGGAGAGAACTTCCTAAGCTGATTTAGACAAGTTGCAACTGTTAATAAAACTAATAAGAAGTCTTGGAAACCGCATTCAATTGATAAAAACCACATGAATAGAACACAAAATTTACACATACATATTTCACTTTGCATTCACTGGGTCGACCCTATGATATTTGTCATGTTTGTGACTCTGAAGATAGTAATTTTTAATTTTTATGTGTTAAATTAACGACCTAAGCCTAGTAATAATAAAAGAAACGTATTAAAAATTGGTCGTAATAATATATTTAAAATATTTAAAGTAAAATTCAATTGTGATAATAATATGATATGTTATTATTTCGGGCAGCGCGCGCCGCTTTAAGGGATTATATTTGATCTTTTTTTCACATATCACTTGAATGGAGGAGACGTGTCTTTCTACGTTCTCTGTACTTTGATCACCAAGGTCCTTTTGATCGGTGTATGAATCACACTAATCCGTGATATCATAATGAGCTATTATTTAAGCTCAAGTAGGTTATAGTGTACAAAGCCTCCACTCCAACCCAATCTAACCTGCACTTTGCATATCATAGAATTTGCAAATCGTCAGTATACTTTAATCCCAAAGACAGTAGTTAACAATAGCATATTTAACACATATGCCAGCTTAACTAAAAAATATTTCTAATTTTTTTTTTTGTTTAAATTTATTTAGTTTTTATAAACCAGAAACATTACGACGTCATATACAAAATGTACATAACAATACATATTTATATGTATGTGATATTTGCGGTAAAAAATTCAAGTCTAAAACTTCTCATACAAAACACATACTTGCACATCAAGGCATTGCAGAGCCACCTGAGCAATGTGAGACATGTGGAAAATGGCTTAAGAATAAACACTGCTTAACTGTGCACCGAATATCACATACTGCTCCACACATCGAACAATGTCATCTATGTGAGCGCGTATGCAGCAACAAAATTTCACTAAGACAACACATTAAATACGTCCACAAATTAGATAAGAAACATAAATGTCACATTTGTAGAAAATCTTTCAAACTACAAAAAGAATTGGAGGTAAGTTATCTAACACTACTCTAAACGAGTAAATTTTAAAATATTTGTTTATCATCTAAAGGAACATAGCGTTACGCATACTGGAGCACAGCCATATTCTTGTTCGTATTGTCCGAAGAAGTTCTCTGCTAAACCAAATATGTATGTGCACATAAAACGAGTACATATTGAGGAATGGAGGGCTTTACAGCGCGCACGTTCAAATGATCCAAATATTAATTTAAGCGCCCAAAATTAAATATCGTAAGTTAATAAAAATTATTTGGCTTTTATAGCTCTACGATCGTTTTAGATCGACCTATGATAGGAATTATTTTTAAGTATAATTAAATAATGTTAGCACAGATTCGCTAACAGTGTAACTACATATTTGATATTTGGACAATATATATAAAGCAAAAAAAAAGAACAAAATAATTTTCATTAAAATCCATACTTGCCATTAAATTTAAACAATATTTATTTCATTCTTAATAAACAGAATTTTTATAAACTTAATATTTTAAATATTTAGTTTTGAGTACAGTATTCAAATAATTTAGTTTAAAACGGCTTATATGAGAATTTTAAATACATGCATTTTGAATTCTTAAGTTAAAATTATTAAATTGCTAAAAACTATAAATAAGCAAGTAGTTACTAATAAAACAATGAAAAGAAGTCGTTAGGTACAAAAAGGCCAATCATTTTAAAAAAAATAAGGAAGAAGTCTAAATAAAATGATAATAAAAATATACATTTTGTATAAATTATGCTCTTGTACTATTTATATAACAACCAGTTGCAATAGCGTAAATATTGCAACAATAACGTCTGTTTTCCTAATCAATTAATCTAATTAATCTCTTCAATCGATCAATAATCTTGTCCACAACAAAATCCAAAATCAGGTATTGAGAAAACAAATGACATACAACCGAATCTTATTAAAGATCCGTGTTTTAGTAAAGCTGTACCTTCCCAAGCAGCAGGTGAAATCGCTGGATTCACTAACGACGAACATTTGCACACTGTCTGATGTGGGGGTGCCATTCTATATGAAAAAGTAAAAATTATTTTAAACATTAATACAGAATATTTAAATGTGAAATAAATATTAAATAAATATTTAATATATAAATTATACTGTTAAAGTTTACATTTTAATCCAAATAATAGATAATTCCATCAAAGTATACCACATATGTAATGCTATTTTGCATATAATAAACAAAAAATAAATAAAATAAAAAATTAACAATAATTTCCTATAGTTTCATGCTATACTTTATAAATGATTTAAAATCGTTATTCTTGCTAAAAACTGAATTTCTTGGATGATCGATGGTTCTATAATCAATGCTTTCTGCTCTTCTCAGTCTTATACGATCGCTATTCAATCATGTGGGCATCTATTTTCTTATACCGCCTACTACACATAGATATTTTACTTTAACCAATCTTATAAAATTTGCTATAATTTAATTAATTCACGTGGAAAGTATACTTTATTTTCTAATAGCAATTTTGATCAGAATCAACTTTATCTTTGATCGAATCTAGTATAACCGTGTAACTCTACACGATTAAAATGCAAAATTCTAACTTTATATTTGGATATATTGCAGATATGCAGTTAAATATACCTATATGTAGAATATATATAACATGTAGCTTTTCATAGTACGAATATAACCTCACTTTCATTTTTTAATTTTATATATAATTAAAACAATTATTAATACGTACGTTGATATTTCGTCGCAAACATAGTAATGCCTTTTTATTCCTCGTCGCGTATCTAGCAGTTCTTGTACACGTTTTTGCACTTCCAGATTTTCGTGTTTGTATTTTTTTGCTGGGATGATTGCACTTTCTTCAAAATCGCAGGTATACAGTTGTCCATTAATCTCTGTACCAAATTCAGAATAATTAATTAACTCGAAAGATTTCGCAAAATCATCATAGAATATGGTTGCATGTTTCGGTGAAATGCGCCTGCAGCTACCATACATAGAAAGATTTACATCGAGTGTTGAACTACCAAATCCTATATTTATGCTTCTATATCGCATAAAAAATGACGATTGCAATTCTATATTACCAAACCAAAGGTTATCGTCAAGTGAGTCATATAATGGCGTTAGTACTCCGCGCGCTCTAATTTTTGCTTCAACAAATTTTATTTGTAAACGTGTTGCTATATCATAGACTTTTTCTTCATCTGTCCAAATCTTGGGTATATATTTTTGTACCTCTTGTTCAGCGGCAGCTATCGCAGCAGCAGTTCCTAAAACTGGATCTATATCTAATAATGCTTGTTCTTTCATAGCCGCTTGGTCCTTTAGTAATAGTGATGAAGATTCACCAGTAAACATTATAGCAAGACCGCGGACATCTTCTGGCGCCAATATTTCTGATGGTAATTTTGAATCTATTGAACTTTTTGTGATTTCTCTTATTTTCTTTGACGCAGATCGATTTTGATATTGTACTACTAGTTCTGGATACTCTTTAATGATTTGTTGTACACGTTGGAAGGCTAATTTTTTTATTAAGGAAACATCTAAACATCGTAATTCTTCATCAATTTTTCTTTCAAGCTCATCGTCAATATCGTCAGACTCACTTTTAACTTTTTCTTCTTTTTCAAGTTCATCTTTCTCATCTTTTTCATCTCGTTTTATTGTATCTTCTAACTTATCCTCTGTTGTTTTTGTAGTTGAATCTTCAATTCGTTTTGTACGTTTTTTGTTGCTCTTTTGTGTTTTATCTTTAATATTTGCAGTTGTTTTTGCATCATTTTGATTTTCCTCACCTTCATTACTTTGCTCTGTTTCTTTGTTTTCAACACTTTTCGCTTCATCTTCATCACTACTACTTAAATCTATTGCATTACCCAATTCCTTTTGTATTTCCCGAAATTTTGCCTTAGCACTTTGCAAGGCTTCCAAATCTTTAACTAACGATTCGGCTACGCTTTCTACTGGTGCTTGGTTCGATGAATTATTACAGAGCCCTTTACGTCTTTTGACTATATCATAACGAAGTGTTTCTTTTAAAGATGGCAGTAGGGGTGGAGGGTTGTCATAATGATATCTAACCATAGGAGGAATTTCAATTGATTCCCGCGGATGCACTGGAATTTTTATACGAAATGGGGGATTACGCATATGTACACGACGAAAAAACTCCATTTTTACAGCTTCATGATCAAACGGTTTCGAAAATTTGTCCCAAAGACGTACGCGTTCCGTAAGCGAAATGCTGCTCACCAAATTACGATCCTAGATAAAACAAATAATAGTTTCATTTGTAAATTAAATTGTAACAAATTATTTGTATTTATTGCTCACTATAAAATTTTCTACATGATTTGGACACATCCATAATCCGGTTGGAAGTGCTGTCATTGGAGGATCTAAACAATCTTGATGAAAAAAGAGCGGACAATAATCGCATGCCACGAGCGGGGCTTTTTTACAGGACTTCCGACAATAAAAACAGGTTTTAGCTGGAAGAGGTACTAAGCCTTGTGAATCTAATTCATAAGGTTTTGAATTACGGCGTATATTAACTTTTTTATTGCTGTTTCCATTATTTCTTATAGGTTCAACTAAAATAAAAATTTTTACATATTATAAAAGAATTATTCAATGGTTATAAAAAAATAAATTTAGAAAAAAAATTTTGTGCTTATTGAACCCAAAAGCAACGAAAACAAACCACATAATTTTCAATCACAGCAATATTAAAACAAAACTTTTATATAAATAAAAAATTATTTCACTATATATATTATTATATAACTTAAAAACAAATTGCCATAAATATTTCACATAATGTACCTTTATCATTGCCAGGAAACTGCGAATGTATCTCCAGTTCTCTCGGCAGTTCGAATTGCTTCGGATTCAAAATACTTGCTGCTTTAATTAGTTCATCTAATGGTGTTGGTTTTTTATTTGGATCCAAAGCCTGTTGTATACCAAAGGGTAATTTTGTTAAATATTTTTCAGTATTGCTTGGATCACTGCTAAATGAAGCATTGCTAACACTCCTTTTACGTAGATTTCGAGCCTTAACGGAGTTCGTTTCCACATCAGTACCTATTGTAAAAGGTGTATTCGGTCGCGTACTATCTCGTCGATTGCTTGAAAGTGCTGTTGTTGATAGAGTGCGTTCAACAGAATTTGCTTTAGATGATGGTGCTGTTTTTAAAGTCATCCGACAACTATGGCATAACCACTGTCCAATTGGTATATCCTCTTCATTTAGTGGAGGATCGCTATAAAAGAAAATCGTTTAGGCGCGAAAACACAGCGTACACGTGTACGACTACTTACTGGCACTGTAAATGAAAACTAGATGGACATCTATCACAACAAAGTAAATCACCTCCTTCCTCGCAAGCATCACATAAATCATGATTGTGCCCTCTTCCAGGTCGTTTATAATAAGGATGTTTTGAATTTGTTGGACGTAATGTTATTTTCTCATCTTCACTTGGTGGTGGTTTTATGAGCACTTGTATTTGCTATAAGAAACATATTACATTTAAAAAATATTACTGTACTTATGGAACTTTTACTTTTTGTCTCTACCCAATGAGACAATTGCGCGTTTCCATTCGATTACCATCTTCAACGTTTTTGTAGAAATTTGCTATCAACTTAATTCTGCTATACTTGCTTACCTCCATTATGCTAAGATTTGGATCCAATTCGACCTTTGCCATTTTCAATTTTTTATTATTTATTTTATTATTTTTAATTGAATATACCAAAATATAAATATATTATTGAAAAAGGACTCTAGCTTTCTCTGAATGTTTGACATTAATTCAACTTATTTTCCTAGAGTTACCAGCCCACGAATTTGATTACAATTGTTCGGAAAAACGTGATATTTTAATGTTTAGGATCAACAAACTTATATGTACATCAACAATTTATATATAATGAATATGTTTACATAATATATTTTGTATATATAAAATATATAATTCTGTATAAAAAAGGTAAAATAATTTATAACGTAAATAAAATAATTAATATTTATAATATATAATATGAAAATTATGAATATTATAAATTACAAAAAAAAATTTTTAAGCAATGCAATTCTATATATATAAATAAAAATAGATTTTTTTTTACCTTTTTGTTCTATCATTTCGATTCTTTCGTTTTTTAGATACATATATATATAACATTAGATTTACACGTTAAAATAATTCGCATTAAAAATAATTTAACTAAAAACTATTTCAGATTTGTATTTTTTAGTATTTCATATTCTATCGAGTACTCAGATGTGCTCCATTGTAAATCTCCAAATTTTAGTTTTTGTAACATAAGATATAAGAACTAAAAAACAGAAATTAGTATGGAAAAATTACTATAAAATTTATAACAATAATATAGTAAAATGAAAATATAGAAAACATATCAAAACATTAACATTACAATAAATTATTAGTATCATAGGTTATCATTAGTATCATTATTAGTATCATATCCAAAACGGTATTACACAGTTTCTAAAATAGCAGGTTGTGATCTATGATATTTTAGAATTACTAAAATTTAATTTAACAGAGCATTAAAGTTTAACTGTAACTATATAAATATAAATACTAACATGTATAAACAAATTTAAAATACGAAATTTTTTCATAAAGAAATGTTTTAATTTTATTTCACATTCAATCATATGACATAAAATTATTTTATATCTCAAAAATCGATTATTTAATACAATTGTAGTAATATGTAAAAATATACTTCATAATTTGGCAAAAAAATTTTAAAAGAAATACTATGCTCCATATAATCTTACAATATTCACTGGTACAAGTTCTCGACAAACGTTCTGACAACTCGAAACAGTTCTCGTTAGTAAGTATAACCTGAGAATTGAAATATTGAATTGAAATATAACCTGAGAATAATATAAAAATAATATAGTAAAGTTATAGTAATATTATATTCTATACAATTTTTGCAATATATTTAAATATTTTTTGTGTTCATTGCTTTTACATTTATTTGTATGATATTCTACAACCGAACATATCATATTTATATTTAGGCCGGAAATTTCATAGGAACTTTATGCACTGCAATTATGTAAATATTTATTTATTTATATATTTATTGCACTTATTTATTATTTTTGGTTTTTGGTATTTTCACAATGGTAACACCTAACTTACCAAATTTTTATCTAATTTACCCTATTCAAAATTTTGGTAAATACCAACTTTCGGTGTCATACCGACATAATTTACTATTTGCTTAAATTTACCATCTATTTACTCGAACTCGTACACAGTCATAATATATATTATACTCAAAAAACAGTTTTCATCAAAATAAAATTAAAAAATATCTGACAAGAAATTTTACAAAATTTGTAAAAAAGGAAACACAAAAAAGTTTTCAAATACGCTTAAATATAACATTTGTGTATAATCAAAATTTATCTATCTTATTATTAAGTTTTATAATTAAATCTTATTTTGCTGAATTCTCGTTGTATATAAAATCTGGAGTGTAATCAATAATATCAATTAAAACAAACAAATACAACCCTGCGTCTTTATTAAGAAAAAAAAGCAAAACAAAAAAAATTAAAATTTTATTCGCAATTAAAAACATTTTTGATATTATTTCATAAATTAGTTAAATTAAACATATTTTACTAAAAATGTTGTCGTTTTTCTCTAAAAAGAAGGATAAACCAGATACACCACCAGAAGAAGCTATTCAAGGTCCTCAAAGTAATGGTGATGACTTCATTTTTGTGGAAAGGAAGGCCGAAGACGATCCACCCAAGGAGCCCAATCAACCATTTGTATATCCGCCGATGCCAGCACTACCTACATCATATAATGTATACAATCCAACAACAATAAATAGTTCCAGTGGCCCAGTGCCTTACGTTCAGGATGTGCCGTTCGAATTCGCACCGCAACTTAACACAAACAACGTTTTCGAAGTAACACAATTGGAAGTGGACGGTATTTTGGCAGTTTTAACGCGACAAATGTCCATAGATGCGGCGGATGAATATAATTTTACATTGGAAAGATCGATATGTTATTAACATGAAGCAATACGCAATCACTAAATATTATTTTTTTATTAAATTATCTGCGCAAATTCAAAGTTAATAAAATTGTATATATAGAATAGTGTTGACACTATCGTCTTCATAGGGAATAATAATAGACAGTACAGTTTGATTTGGTATCTTGTGGTGATAAAATAAGGTCCCAATATACCATTTTTACTGCCAGTTAAGAAAATGTTATGCAAAAATATTTTGTTTTTGGTGAGTCATTATTTTATTTAATAATAAAACTATAATGTATTACATTTTAAAACGATGTAGTTTAATATTTAATTTTTATCATGTTAAAGTGTTTTAGTAAATGTTTATTTACTGGCATAATTGCTAATCATGAATACAGAAAAATCAGCATCTAATGAAATTGAAAGTTTACTTATTTGAAATTTATTTAACTGGAATTTAATCGATTTACTGAATTTGGTTTCTAGTAATATTTAGAATATTTGCTTAAATATTGTTATTAGTTAATTTCACATGGGTCCATGTCTTCAAAGCAATAAATAAATGCTTTATTCATGAGTTTTTATTATGATCTGTTGTTTTCAGAAAAAATGCAGTGTCAAACAATACCAATTATTAATTATCAATTAATTATTAATTGAAATTATAAAAATTTATTCCCAAGACCGTATTATTGTAAACACGCCAAAGACCGTATCATTAGAAAGACGTCGAAGACCGTATTTTTATGAAAACATCAAAGACCGTAACATTAAAAAGACGCTGAATGTGTAAAAAACTTTTAAGATTGCGCGGCTTGAGTTTCAATTGATCGAAATATAAATTATTGCTAAATGCCGCATAAATTAAATGTTTTCAATAACATTTTCATATTTTCATTTGGATTTGCATTTATTATTAACATGTGCATTTCTACACTTACGCTTATACATTTTTTATATTTTTTAATCATTAATTTTTTTGTTTCTATTTTTAAATAATAATGTTTATTAAATTAATATCAATTGATATTTGTTAGTATATCAAACATGTTTCTTTATAAATTACTTGCATGTGAAGGCCGTATTAAGTCAAAGTTATTTATATACGGTCTTCGGTCAGTATGTTAATTTTTTTGCCCAGTGTCGCACAGATGTCGCTACAAACATTATGTGCTGTAATATTCAACTGAAATTCTTTTTATTTAAAAAAAATATATGAAGCAATTTCTTTTTTAATGAGACTTTATTGTTGATTTAAATATTGTAATTTTAAGGAATAATGCTTCAACACATCATTTCCGACAAATAAATAAAATCTTATCAGATATCGAGAAGAATTTCTCTAGTTTATTTTAATCACATGCTTTTCAAGCTCACATGCATTCGTGAATGTTTTTATTTCTGGGACGCCCCCATTTAAAAAGCTGAATATATATTCTGAGAACAAATTAATCACAACTATTACTACCTAATGTAGTTTATGCATTTCTTATTTATTTGCATGTTTATTTAAAAAATTAGTTTTAACTCCTTATCAGCATAAAATACACATAATGCAATATTGTGCAATAAAAAAACTTATCTTTAGATGCTTAAAGAATTTGTTACTTTAATTATTTAACTATAATATTTCTTTAGATATTGAAAGAATTTCTTTTATTTCTTTAGAAAACTAATTTAGATAAATGGGATTGAGTTGAATATGTTTATGAATATTTGCTTTCTTTAACATTGTAAAGAAATATAATTATTTCTTTATCAGATATATAATAATAGACCATTATAGATATGGAAGATTGTTCTCAAATTTATTGCTATTGCGATAATGAGTAATAAGCCATTATTACTTAGACAGCTTATAAATTTCTATTTTAATATAATACTATAATTTAATGACGTTATAAATATACATTTATTTTTGCTTTATATAAAGGTTTTATTGTGAGGAAAAATATTAGTAGCTAAAAATTTTCGTTACTATCAAGCCTTAACGGCTTATAAATATATAAAAGAAAATTATTTTTTTAAATATTATGTATTCATAATTATATACAATAAAAAAGACCAATACTGTAATATAAAATCCTAGGAATATACTTCAAAGCTACTCTTTAATATTGTATTTACGTTTTATATTTCCACTTAAGTATAGAAATTTATATATATATATATATAAAGGATAGAGTCCTGAAATTATTAGTGAAGACTGACAGACTTACCAACATCGCGTTATCAAATCTCAGAATGGTTACAGGCTCCTCGGGAAGGTGTGCAGATCTGAGGTCAATTATTGCTTAGTCTGATGAAGTGATAAACAATAATTCAGTCAAGGCGTAAAGAGGGATTTTAAAAATACCTCGAGTTAAGAAAGAGTAAAAGTGTTCAAGTGCACTGGCTCAAATAGAAATAAATATATATATATATTAAATATATTTAACTATAGCTGATGGTTTGGAATAACAAATCTTTGATAAGTTGTGATATTGACCAATACACTATCACGGGAGTTCCTCAAACCCCTATAATAGGAGGTTTGAGGAACTAAAGTTCGCACAATATGAATCGAAAGACAATATGTATGCATATTTCAATCCATTATTAACACACAATTGAATGGTAAACAAAACTAAAATCAATCCAGCCTATTTGAAAGGTTGATCATAGTCAGTTTATTTCAATATTATCAATCTTAAGCAATTATCGATGAAAACTATACTAATACAAATAATTATATTTATGCAGTACTGAATTAAGTTTCTGCTTTCCAACTATTAAAAATTAAATCAAACTACATAAGATGCAGTTTTCTCAGTTATTGTTTGTAATAATAACCTTTTAAAGTCAATTTTTTTTAAGAAAAAGTCATAATAATAGCTTATTTGACTTTATTTTCGCTTATATACAAAATAAATATAAGAATTTACATTTATCTTTAATATTTAAGGACAGTTTTAGAATGCACAATTACAATGCTCAACCCTTAAGTCACCTAAAAAGACGAATTATATAAAACTGCTCTATAAAATAAGGATGGCGGCATTACAAATTACTTGAGCTCTACGTTTCACCATCATGAAAGCTCTTTTTGGTTTCTTCACTGACTGCCTTCTCAGCTTCCGATAAAAGAGCAAGCTTTTTTAATAACAATCAGATTCAATAGTGTTCTCTCCCGCTGGTTTAGAATTGACAAAGGGCACGCCAGTATATTGAATTAGCATTTGTTAGTTAGTTATTTGAAATAACAACTAATACAGTTGGGGTTCGGTTTTCTTAATCGTAGTAAAGATAACTAGAGGGGCATTTATACTGAAGGGATGAATAGCAATGACAGTATCAGAGCACTTCAACTGCAGAGCCTCTTATGCAGAAATAATGGCGAATCCTGTGCAACTATATTATCTCGGACAGCCAAGCTGCTATCACATCTCTCATAAGCACTAAAGTTACATCCTTAATAGTTCAAGAATGGCGGCTTTCCCTTAACGAGTTAGCTAAGCTTGTTAGTATCAAGTTCATATGAGCATCTAGATGCAAGTCATCCTAAGAAACTGCAGAGTAGACGAGATTGTTGAAGTAGGCATTCTGCTCCCTGACATTGTAGGTATTCTGCTCCCTAAATTTGGCTAAACAAACTTGAGTAGAAGAAAACTACTGCCAGTTCTCAAAACCGATCTGGCCCAAACTGGAAAATAATCGTATCAATCCATTTTTCAACTAAGGCGTAATCTGCTTAACACTACGGCTTAGGAAGACATACTATAGACTGTCTTTATTTATACCCTATAAAGACTTTTGTCGAGGTTATGGCTCTGCGGATGAGAAGAAAACTGCTTTCCACCTAATATGGCAGTGTTAATCATTTGCTAAGAGAAGATATCTACTCTCAAGGCCCTTTTCGTGCCCACCTGACAGAGTTGTCATTATACAAAATTAGACATTGTCAGATTGGTTCACTTTCCATTGAATGGGGGAATCGTATCTATCAGCGCTGTTCGTATGTTGAACACTACGGAACTTTCGGGAATCTTGGTTCACGTGGTCAAGTTAATAGACTTGTTAGGTTGGTTCACTTTCCATAGTTCGTATATTGAACACTGCGGTCCTTTTGAGAATCTTGGTCCATGTACGAACAATGCTAATGCATGATATAACAACACGCCATTACTTAAGCTTAAATTTGGCTTTAGTCATAAGGTTTCCACTCCTACCCAACCAACCATAACCCTTATGTTAGTTCAATATTGTGCTCCAAAACATCACTTGAAATTTTAATAAATATCGTTTGAGTGTTTAATCGACGCTTAAGCGTACATTGTCAAATTGACTCTTAGTATATCTATCTTTATTTGTAAAATAAAATTTTTGTCTTGAATCCCAGCTGAGGGCCTAAGTTCCCATGCTTTTATTAATAACCTTACTGCTATATAATTTTTTGTATTTGTTTTTCAATAAAAAAAAATATTTGTATTAGTAGTCATGCCTTGCAGTTAAGAATTTATGAATGATAATTCTTTAGAAAAGTTTTATTGGAACACTCATTTGTTTTAGAAAAATCACTTCTAATTATTGTTTATATTTTGATAAAAATTGAATACATTCTTCCCATTTTGTCTTAAATGCAAGAGAAGTATTTGCTTTGCGTTCGTAAAGCAAACATTTAAAATGCGATTTTGCACTAAATTACACACATTTGATAAACAAAAACCAAAAAAAAAAAAACGAAAATAAATATTATAAAGCTTTTTAAAGTATCTTATATCATTATCAGTAATTATCACAAAATAATCTGAAGAACCGCAATTATATATATAAAAACTATTAATACGAAAAATCAGTTTCAATCGACATTTAACACGAAAAAATTAGCGGAAATAAAATTGTACGAGTATACAAACGACTTTATGTAAATCAAAAAAGGATATGATATACATTATATATATTTAAATACAGAATATATGTTATAGTATATTTAAAAAAGTTCCAATAATTTATTTAAATTTGGTCATCGTTTCAAAATGAAATTATTAAGCATATTTATTTGTGTTTTATTTGTAATAAGCAAAGGTGAATTTAAAGTGTAAATAATTATTTAATTAATGAAAATACACAATAAACAAAAATAATGTAGAATATAAAATAAAAAACTACAATATGCTTATATGAATTTTTTTTTAAAAAAAAAAAAATATATATATATATAAAATCAAACAAGTAAAATGCAAATAAGATTTTTTACAGTGGACTTGATAGTTTTGCAAACGAGAGTGGATTAAATAAAAAAAGGATTTCTTAAAAATTTCTATTTAACTCAAAACACTGAAACCAATATTTTTCCAATATTTCAATTACTTTAAAACATAAAAATTACTCAAAGTCCTTAACCATAACCTCATTTTTGGACTAAAATATCACTGAAACTTCTTTAAGTTTGAGAAAAAAAAATTAAGTCTATAACGGATAAATCTAAAAATATAGGCGATGAGACAATTCTGAACATTTTTTCATTAAATCCGTAATGAATATTTTAAAAGAAATATTATGAGTGATGTTAAGATAAAACTTGAAATTGTATCGTTGGAGATTACGTTTGCGGCCATGCCTTGTCTTGATGCTCTACAATAAAGACAAGGTTGTTTTTCATTGCCAAATACAGTCTTCAGGCTATAAATTGTCCTTTAACGATCTAATTAGTTGCAAACAGCATGCAATGTCTGTTTTTCTTCCCTTCTGTTATCTGTCTTCTATTGATAGACAGATAAAACTACATTTTTTAGGCACCAAGCCACTTTGCTTTCACCAAACTGCTACTTGGTCTCTGATGAAATTAGAGTTTATAATTTGGGGCATAATAAGGCACTTTATTTTATAGAAAATTATATATAATTAATAATTTCTATTAATACATTTGAAATTTAATACAAATAAATTATTCTCTGAAGATTTATTATATTTTTTAAAAATCTGAACCTATTTTTATAGAATGAAAATTATTTCAGAGATTCATTAGTTAGTTAAGATAATTCTATATATCTACATAATGCAATTGCATAAAGGATAAAAATTGAAAAAGATTGAATAAAAAGAATAGTTATGTATACTTGGTATGTATACTATATCAATTTCCCGTATAGATAAGATTTATTAATAAAATAATTAATAAATGTTTCTCTCCCATTCTGTTACTATCTTTTGTCCTTTTCTCTGCCATTTGTTTAACTGAAAATAGGAAATAATTAAAGTTTATAAATAATTTATTTCATATAAGTGGCTTGTTAAAATGCCTCTTTATTGTGATAAACATTTTTTATATCAATTTTACATATCAGTTAATAGATTATTCCATTTTCAAAATGTTACTTTCATAAGTGATTCACCCAAAGCACTTTAAAAATCTATTGTGAGAAAAATTATTATTATTAATATAGTAAACAACATAGATATTTTAATTGCAATGTGTATTTAATTAAACCGTTATTAGATAGAAAAAAAAATACTCTGATACTTGTAGCATACTTAAAGATACAATATATGGTATATAAGCATAAGAACTCAGTGCTTAAAGAAAAATTATAATTTCTCACTATAGAAAATAGTTTTCCATAACGGGGGACAAACAAAAGTTTTTGAGCCCAAAATTAAGCAGAAAAGATTGAAAGAACAAAAATACAATCGTAAAAATGATAATCTACTTTTGCAGCCAAAAGTATATTTAATAATATTTTTCATTGACCGACCTCATGCGTTTGTTAAGATATAGCGAAACGCGTAATTGAATTTTTGTTTTTAAAAAAATAATATTGTGGCTGCTGCTAAATAATTAAGTGAAGTCTACAAGACCTCTGCATGATTGTAAGCAACAGTAAAAAAGTGGGAGATTGACTGTTTATAAAGCCACAGTCAAATAATCATTAGGCTTTCTGAGATTGTATATAGTTTGAAGATCTCCACATAAAAAAGCTCTGCACTTGTTTTTGCAAACCGCAATTTTTTTAACTCTGTTAGAACTGTTTCAGTAAGTTGGACTCCCTATGGATTACTCTTCCGAAACAAAAGAATACTCAAAACAAAACAGTCGCCCGCAAAACCACGGCTACTGTTTTTTGAAAGGGAAAAAACTTGTTTCTGATTCACTGCATCGAAAAACGTTACAAAACCACCAGTGGCGTAACTACAGGGAAGCAACTGGAAGCAACGCTTTCGGGCCCCCGAATTTAGGGGGCCCCACTATAAATTTTTGTATTCATTGTATTTATTTTTAATAAATTCTCAAAAGTGGGACGAAACGTTTTTTGTTGGATTAACTTCATATTGCATTTTATAAAAGATACGTAAATTTTAAATTTAAAGTACATAATATGTATGTACTTCAAATAAAATATTAAACCTATTTATAAAATAAAAAAGTTTTTCTAAGAAAAATATGTGTCTTAATCGAGAGACTTATATGGAAGCTATATCTAGATTTAAACCTATTTGAAAATAATTTTGTACGTTGTCTTTTGCAAATATCAGTACTGTATACACCAAATTCCATTTGAATACCTTTATTAAAAACGGAGAAACCTCATATCCGATTGTTAAGTTTATATCACAGATACAAGAAATAGACGTCCAATTTCAATCAAACCAAATGGCTCCCGAAAAGTATGTGTGTAAAGTTTCGTTCGAAGAGTTCAAAAGCTGAGAGAGTAGTTTGAACTGAAAAAGTATATATATATTGTACTGATATATACTTAATGATATTTCCGACGTTTCCTTTAATGCGTTACGAAAATCTTGACAAACCTTATACATCCTTTTCACATTTTTTCGTGTAAAGAGTATAAAAAGAGGGGCCCCTTAGTATGTTGGTAGGGGCCCCTTAGTTAGAATTTGCTTACAGGCCTAAAAAATGTAGTTACGCCACTGAAAACCACTGAAGCTTACTTTGCAACATTATTGAATCAGTCATAAGTATCGTATTGCATATTTTTATGATAAAGCGGCTTAAGAAGATAAGCCACCGTTGAGAAAAGTGTATCGAGTTAAGAAAAGATTTACTCTTTAACATTTAAAAATGTTAAATGTAAAAATAATAATACCCAGAGACATTTAGAAAAAAATAATAAATATTTTTTCAATATGATTTCTCATGCTCTAGAAATTCGATGCTATATCTACTGTATAAATAAATTTACTTGAACATTTTATTAGTTTCAGTTCTCTGTCACTTGGTCCTAATTTCACGTTTCCTCTCCATTTTTCTTGTATTTTTCTTGAAGCATGTCTAGATAAATCGATTTTACTATCAATTCTGTTGTGCGACCAATATAAATGGACTGGGTGCATATCTAGATTATCATGTACTATTATTATCACAGTTAATAAAGTTCAATTCATTTTCAAATGCTATATATTATGAATACAATTAAATTATGTAATCAATATATATTTAATATATATTTATTTTATTTAATAAAATTTCTATTTTATTAGTTTTCTATAATGTGTAAATTAACGATTACATAAATTTATATATATAAAATCCTTTTAACCATTATTAACTTAATGCTAAGACTAAACCTTACACTAACTATTTGTGATTTAGAGAATAACATTAGATTATTTTTAGTTAAATCGAATATACTTCAATGCTACATATGTGATGACTGTGATGAAGAGGAAGAACAAACCACATATTGCAACGACTTCGACGATGAGATTGAAAGTCCAGCAACAGTACAACCTACTACTTCGTATGCAACGACATCAACAACAAAAACAAATAAACTTACAGAAACAACACTTTCTTACAGTACAACTTCAACATTAAACACAACTGCTATCAATCCTGCAACAAATACGAACTCCACTGAAATACACACGAGTACCACAAACTCAATTCCAATAACCGATTTGACACAAACGACTAAAAGCTTCATCAGCACTATAGTAACAGTTGATCCAATAACAATAACAACTATCAGAGAAAATATATCTAAGGTTGATTCAACATCAGAATCTACCACTGAGCAAAATATACCTACAGGTTCACAAACATCTGTAACATATACAGCCTCAGATGCAACAACGGTGTCAGATGATTCAACGACATCAGAAACTTCAATATCAATCACTGAATCAATCACGTCTTCAGACTCAAACACTTCTATAGATTCAAACACATCTACAGTCACAGATTCGACAGTGACCATCTCAACAACGGTGTTAGATGATTCAACGACATCAGAAATTTCAATATCGACCACCGAAGCAATCACGTCTACAGATTCAAACACATCTACAATCACAGATTCGACAGTGACCATCTCAACAATGGTGTTAGATGATTCAAGGACATCAGAAATTCCAATATCGACCACTGAATCAATCACATCTACAGATTCAAACACATCTACAGTTCAAACACATCTACAGTCACAGATTCGACAGTGACCACCTCAACAACGGTGTTAGATGATTCAACGACATCAGAAATTCCAATATCGACCACTGAATCAATCACATCTACAGATTCAAACACATCTACAGAATCAAACACATCTACAGTCACAGATTCGTCAGTGACCATCTCAACAACGGTGTTAGATGATTCAACGACATCAGAAATTTCAATATCGACCACTGAATCAATCACATCTTCAGACTCAAACACTTCTACAGATTTAAACACATCTACAGTCACAGATTCGACAGTGACCACCTCAACAATGGTGTTAGATGATTCAACGACATCAGAAATTCCAATATCGACCACTGAATCAATCACATCTACAGATTCAAACACATCTACAGAATCAAACACATCTACAGTCACAGATTCGACAGTGACCACCTCAACAACGGTGTTAGATAATTCAACGACATCAGAAATTCCAATATCGACGACTGAATCAATCACATCTACAGATTCAAACACATCTACAGTCACAGATTCGACAGTAATCATTTCAACAACGGTGTTAGATGATTCAACGACATCAGAAACTTCAATATCAACCACTGAATCAATCACGTCTTCAGACTCAAACACTTCTACAGATTTAAACACATCTACAGTCACAGATTCGACAGTGACCATTTCAACAACGGTGTTAAATGATTCAACGACATCAGAAATTCCAATATCGACCACTGAATCAATCACATCTACAGATTCAAACACATCTACAGTCACAGATTCGACAGTGACCACCTCAACAACGGTGTTAGATGATTCAACGACATCAGAAATTCCAATATCGACCACTGAATCAATCACATCTACAGATTCAAACACATCTACAGATCACAGATTCGACAGTTACTACATCTCAACAATGGTGTTAGATGATTCAACGACATCAGAAATTCCAATATCGACCACTGAATCAATCACATCTACAGATTCAAACACATCTACAGTCACAGATTCGACAGTGACCACCTCAACAACGGTGTTAGATGATTCAACGACATCAGAAATTTCAATATCGACCACTGAATCAATCACATCTACAGATTCAAACACATCTACAGATTCAAACACATCTACAGTCACAGATTCGACAGTGACCATTCAACAACGGTGTTAGATGATTCAACGACATCAGAAATTCCAATATCGACCACTGAATCAATCACATCTACAGATTCAAACACATCTACAGTCACAGATTCGACAGTAACCATTTCAACAACGGTGTTAGATGATTCAACGACATCAGAAACTTCAATATCAACCACTGAATCAATCACGTCTTCAGACTCAAACACTTCTACAGATTTAAACACATCTACAGTCACAGATTCGACAGTGACCATTTCAACAACGGTGTTAGATGATTCAACGACATCAGAAATTCCAATATCGACCACTGAATCAATCACATCTACAGATTCAAACACATCTACAGTCACAGATTCGACAGTGACCATCTCAACAACGGTGTTAGATGATTCAACGACATCAGAAATTTCAATATCGACCACTGAATCAATCACATCTACAGATTCAAACACATCTACAATCACAGATTCGACAGTGACCATCTCAACAATGGTGTTAGATGATTCAAGGACATCAGAAATTCCAATATCGACCACTGAATCAATCACATCTACAGATTCAAACACATCTACAGTCACAGATTCGACAGTGACCACCTCAACAACGGTGTTAGATGATTCAACGACATCAGAAATTTCAATATCGACCACTGAATCAATCACGTCTACAGATTCAAACACATCTACAATCACAGATTCGACAGTTACTACCTCAACAATGGTGTTAGATGATTCAAGGACATCAGAAATTCCAATATCGACCACTGAATCAATCACATCTACAGATTCAATCACATCTACAGATTCAAACACATCTACAGTCACAGATTCGACAGTGACCATCTCAACAACGGTGTTAGATGATTCAACGACATCAGAAATTTCAATATCGACCACCGAAGCAATCACGTCTACAGATTCAAACACATCTACAATCACAGATTCGACAGTGACCACCTCAACAATGGTGTTAGATGATTCAAGGACATCAGAAATTCCAATATCGACCACTGAATCAATCACATCTACAGATTCAAACACATCTACAGATTCAAACACATCTACAGTCACAGATTCGACAGTGACCATCTCAACAACGGTGTTAGATGATTCAACGACATCAGAAATTCCAATATCGACCACCGAAGCAATCACGTCTACAGATTCAAACACATCTACAGTCACAGATTCGACAGTGACCACCTCAACAACGGTGTTAGATGATTCAACGACATCAGAAATTTCAATATCGACCACTGAATCAATCACATCTACAGATTCAAACACATCTACAGTCACAGATTCGACAGTAACCATTTCAACAACGGTGTTAGATGATTCAACGACATCAGAAACTTCAATATCAACCACTGAATCAATCACGTCTTCAGACTCAAACACTTCTACAGATTTAAACACATCTACAGTCACAGATTCGACAGTGACCATTTCAACAACGGTGTTAAATGATTCAACGACATCAGAAATTCCAATATCGACCACTGAATCAATCACATCTACAGATTCAAACACATCTACAGTCACAGATTCGACAGTAACCATTTCAACAACGGTGTTAGATGATTCAACGACATCAGAAATTTCAATATCGACCACTGAATCAATCACGTCTTCAGACTCAAACACTTCTACAGATTTAAACACATCTACAGTCACAGATTCGACAGTGACCATTTCAACAATGGTGTTAGATGATTCAACGACATCAGAAATTCCAATATCGACCACTGAATCAATCACATCTACAGATTCAAACACATCTACAGAAACACATCTACAGTCACAGATTCGACAGTGACCACCTCAACAACGGTGTTAGATGATTCAACGACATCAGAAATTTCAATATCGACCACTGAATCAATCACATCTACAGATTCAAACACATCTACAGTCACAGATTCGACAGTAACCATTTCAACAACGGTGTTAGATGATTCAACGACATCAGAAATTCCAATATCGACCACTGAATCAATCACATCTACAGATTCAAACACTTCTACAGATTTAAACACATCTACAGTCACAGATTCGACAGTGACCATTTCAACAACGGTGTTAAATGATTCAACGACATCAGAAATTCCAATATCGACCACTGAATCAATCACATCTACAGATTCAAACACATCTACAGTCACAGATTCGACAGTGACCATCTCAACAACGGTGTTAGATGATTCAACGACATCAGAAATTTCAATATCGACCACTGAATCAATCACGTCTACAGATTCAAACACATCTACAATCACAGATTCGACAGTTACTACCTCAACAATGGTGTTAGATGATTCAACGACATCAGAAATTTCAATATCGACCACTGAAGCAATCACGTCTACAGATTCAAACACATCTACAATCACAGATTCGACAGTGACCACCTCAACAATGGTATTAGATGATTCAACGACATCAGAAATTTCAATATCGACCACTGAATCAATCACATCTACAGATTCAAACACATTTACAGAATCAAACACATCTACAGTCACAGATTCGACAGTTACCATCTCAACAACGGTGTTAGATGATTCAACGAGATCAGAAATTTCAATATCGACCACTGAATCAATCACATCTACAGATTCAAACACATCTACAATCACAGATTCGACAGTTACCACCTCAACAATGGTGTTAGATGATTCAACGACATCAGAAATTCCAATATCGACCACTGAATCAATCACGTCTTCAGATTCAAACACTTCTACAGATTTAAACACATCTACAGTCACAGATTCGACAGTGACCATTTCAACAACGGTGTTAGATGTTTCAACGACATCAGAAATTTCAATATCAACCACCGAATCAATCACTCCTACAGATTCAAACACATCTACAGTCACAGATTCGACAGTGACCATCTCAACAACGGTGTTAGATGATTCAACGACATCAGAAATTCCAATATCGACCACTGAATCAATCACATCTACAGATTCAAACACATCTACAGTCACAGATTCGACAGTGACCATCTCAACAACGGTGTTAGATGATTCAACGACATCAGAAATTCCAATATCGACCACCGAATCAATCACTCTACAGATTCAAACACATCTACAGTCACAGATTCGACAGTGACCATCTCAACAACGGTGTTAGATGATTCAACGACATCAGAAATTCCAATATCGACCACTGAAGCAATCACGTCTACAGATTCAAACACATCTACAATCACAGATTCGACAGTGACCACCTCAACAATGGTGTTAGATGATTCAACGACATCAGAAATTCCAATATCGACCACTGAATCAATCACATCTACAGATTCAAACACATCTACAGAATCAAACACATCTACAGTCACAGATTCGACAGTGACCACTCAACAACGGTGTTAGATGATTCAACGACATCAGAAATTCCAATATCGACCACTGAATCAATCACATCTACAGATTCAAACACATCTACAGATCAAACACATCTACAGTCACAGATTCGACAGTGACCATCTCAACAACGGTGTTAGATGATTCAACGACATCAGAAATTTCAATATCGACCACTGAATCAATCACGATCTACAGATTCAAACACATCTACAGTCACAGATTCGACAGTGACCACCTCAACAATGGTGTTAGATGATTCAACGACATCAGAAATTCCAATATCGACCACTGAATCAATCACATCTACAGATTCAAACACATCTACAGTCACATATTCGACAGTGACCATCTCAACAACGGTGTTAGATGATTCAACGACATCAGAAATTCCAATATCGACCACCGAAGCAATCACGTCTACAGATTCAAACACATCTACAATTACAGATTCGACAGTGACCACCTCAACAATGGTGTTAGATGATTCAAGGACATCAGAAATTCCAATATCGACCACTGAATCAATCACATCTACAGATTCAAACACATCTACAGTATCAAACACATCTACAGTCACAGATTCGACAGTGACCACCTCAACAACGGTGTTAAATGATTCAACGGCATCAGAAATTCCAATATCGACCACTGAATCAATCACATCTACAGATTCAAACACATCTACAGAATCAAACACATCTACAGTCACAGATTCGTCAGTGACCATCTCAACAACGGTGTTAGATGATTCAACGACATCAGAAATTTCAATATCGACCACTGAATCAATCACATCTTCAGACTCAAACACTTCTACAGATTTAAACACATCTACAGTCACAGATTCGACAGTGACCACCTCAACAACGGTGTTAGATGATTCAACGACATCAGAAATTCCAATATCGACCACTGAATCAATCACATCTACAGATTCAAACACATCTACAGTCACACATTCGTCACAGATTCGACAGTGACCACCTCAACAACGGTGTTAGATGATTCAACGACATCAGAAATTTCAATATCGACCACTGAATCAATCACGTCTACAGATTCAAACACATCTACAGTCACAGATTCGACAGTAACCATTTCAACAACGGTGTTAGATGATTCAACGACATCAGAAATTCCAATATCGACCACTGAATCAATCACTCTCAGATCAACACATCTACAGATTCAAACACATCTACAGTCACAGATTCGACAGTGACCACCTCAACAACGGTGTTAGATGATTCAACGACATCAGAAATTTCAATATCGACCACTGAATCAATCACGTCTACAGATTCAAACACATCTACAATCACAGATTCGACAGTGACCACTTCAACAATGGTGTTAGATGATTCAACGACATCAGAAATTCCAATATCGACCACTGAATCAATCACATCTACAGATTCAAACACATCTACAGTCACAGATTCGACAGTGACCACCTCAACAACGGTGTTAGATGATTCAACGACATCAGAAATTTCAATATCGACCACTGAATCAATCACGTCTACAGATTCAAACACATCTACAATCACAGATTCGACAGTTACTACTTCAACAATGGTGTTAGATGATTCAAGGACATCAGAAATTCCAATATCGACCACTGAATCAATCACATCTACAGATTCAAACACATCTACAGTCACAGATTCGACAGTAACCATTTCAACAACGGTGTTAGATGATTCAACGACATCAGAAACTTCAATATCAACCACTGAATCAATCACGTCTTCAGATTCAAACACTTCTACAGATTTAAACACATCTACAGTCACAGATTCGACAGTGACCATTTCAACAACGGTGTTAAATGATTCAACAACATCAGAAATTCCAATATCGACCACCGAAGCAATCACGTCTATAGATTCAAACACACCTACAGTTACAGATTCGACAGTGACCATCTCAACAAGAGTGTCAGATGATTTGATAACAACAGAAATTTCAGCAATAATATCAAGAAATCTAGAGGTCACATTCGAATCAATATCACCTAAAAATAATGAAGTCGTATTAAATAATAAATCCACTTATCATACGTCATATGAGTTGAAGAGTGATGAATTGACGAATGTGCCAATCTCAACACAAGAAGTCGTAACTACGAGCCCAACCAATACAAAACAAGATGTCCATATCAGTCGAGTTGCTCGTGCCGTTCCGGTATCATCGGCAGCAATTTCACTGAAAGCTCCAACTGATCTTTTATTCAAACGAAAACTGAACAAACGTGCAATTAATGCACAAACAAATAGCAGTACAACAGCTCATTGTTATATGGTCAAGTTATCTGGTATGTAAGGAATTTCTTATAAGAGTAGTATAAATTGTTATTAACAATTTTTATTTTTTTCGTTTCAGGTGCAAAGAAATCGAAGGTAAGCCGTGGATGTTTAAGATTGAAACCAGGGGAAGCTGCTTGTGATCAGCTCAATAAGAAATATAATAACAAAGTTAACCATTGTTTCGTTTGTACAAATGATAAATGCAACAACGGTATCGTTCTGAAAGTTTCCTTTAGTGTAATACTTGTCACATTTATTTTGCAATTCGTCCAATTGAAGTAAATATAATAAAAACTTCTCTTAAATATAGAAAAAGAAGGTTTGGACTACTCTCCCAAATCTACTTTAAACGGATAATTAGTTGATCTTGATAATTAGGCTCTTAATTAATTATATTACTAAGTTTTTAGGTGTGTTAAAAATATGTTAATTATTAAAATATTTAATAATTTTAAATATCGTAATTTTTATTTATTTGTTATTAATTAAAAAATTAGAACTTATTTATATGAATATTTGAATGTATATAATAAACATATTGATTACTATTTTATTTATAAAAAAAAATTTTATTTAATAAGAAATTAATAAATTCAAAAAATTTATATAACAAAATTAAATCATAATTACAAAAATCATCATTTTTATAATATAAAAAATATTATAATATAATTATAATATAAGGATTATAAGCATTATACTTAAAAAATAAATTGCCTTTGTCCTAAACTAAGGGAAACCAACATTGGACATTGGGATTGCGTTGGCCCTTTTATTTCTAAAAGAGTTAAAAAGTAACATAAACATCAAAAGACTTAAATTATTTACTAATATCGTCAAGACATGCATAAATAATTATTAACCAAATTATGACTGACTTAATTATGACTTGCGTTATCGAATCACAGAACGGTTACAGGCTCCTCGGGGAGGTATGCAGATCTGAGGTCAATTATTGCTTAGTCTGATAAAGTGATAAACAATAATCCAGTCAAGGCGTAGAGAGGAGTTATGAAGAAACCTTGCAGGTAATAGAGAGTAAAAGTGCTAATAATAATATACATTGCTACTCGGGAATCCCCAACTTTCAAATTTTAATTTAACTGAAAAACTGCTTGTTGGTATAAAATATAATTGCAGTTTGTATTTCTGATATATTGTAATGCAAATTAATAAAATTATAGTTTTAGAACAATTTATAGTTAGTGATCAGAAATCTTTAGAAATTGGTATTCTGCTTACAAATAAATAATGTGAATACTGCTTTTTTGTGATTTAAAAGCAGTATTTCAGTAAGTCTAAGCTTTGCGTTTTACAATATTAATCTTGCAATAAATATAAAACTTTGTTTAAACTATCTTACTTCACTCAATTTCGGATTTAACTCGATAAGCATGTAAAATTTAGTCAAATTTGCCAAAAAAAATTTATAGAAATCCATCCAATAATGTACAAGATAAGCACGTACATATTTTTTAAGAGTATTGCCTCGAAATGCTTTGCGACATTAACTTAAATCCTGCTTCAAAAAATTCCTATTACCGTATAGGATGGGTTCAAGTTTTAATAAATACAGAAATAAAATAAAACGCGCGTAACAAAATAAGTTTAAAAAAAATATCCAAACTAGAAACCATTTTTATTGCACATATACGTTAATTTAATTAATACGATATGCTGACGAATTATGTAAAGAAAAGCAAATCCAAAAAAAAATTACCTTTTGTGGAAATAGCCCAAACTAGGATAACAAATCCATCCGAAATATTTAGGGTAAGGTATTTAGTTCGAATATTAGTCGAATATTAGTCATAGCTAAACATAGGATTTTTTGTAAATTTTTTCTTTCGATCCTTTCCATATAGTATTAGATTTATGTAAATGTACATTTCAATCCACTCTGATATAAACTGAAAATATCTTTGTACTTGAACCCACTATTACTTTATATTGAATTACTGTAAATCATATTCATATATTTTTTCTACTTTAAATAAATATACTGCTTTATTTTTTTTTTCTTGATTACTCACTAAATTCTGAAAATTTAAATGTAAACACTTAAACTTTATTTATGCAAAGGTTTCCGACATACGAAAGATGAGCTGGAATCTATAACATATCTAAGTAGATAAGATGGCTAAGTAATAACGTTAGTTCATGTAACACATTGTAATATTAAATATTGTATCATATAACTTTGTTATTAAGGCCGTGTGCAAGTTCGAGTAAATTGAGGTAAAGTAAATTGAAATTTCCTAAGGTTTTTTTGCACTGCACTTATGTAAATATAGCACAATCGTAACAACTAATTTACCTGCCATATCTGCCATACCGACATAAATTACTATTTACCTCAATTTACCATAAATTTACTAGAACTCGTACACAGCCTAATTTATTTTTAAAATGACCATTGTGATGTAGAATATTATTTCAATGAATTAATATTATTTCATTTAATAATTAATTTTATAATAATAATAAAGTAATGTTATATAATTATTAATTAAAAACTAATGTAATAATATTAATACACATAATTAACTTTATTCAACCAATAAGAATGCGTCGTGTGCAATCAAGTGCAAGAATCTACTTGAAACTGAAATATTTAATAAATCTAGTGCTGGCAACACTGTACTTCAAATTTGCCACTATTAAAGTTGCAGCTTTTGTAAACAAAACTGCTTTATAATACAAATATTTTTTGTTTCAATTTTGATTAACACAAATTTTCATATTTTTTTAAATTAACATAACATAAATAAGAAGTTCATTCTAAATAATTTATTTTAAAAAACAAAAAAATGGCTTCAAATATATCTAATAAAGAATGGGTAAGATTAATGTTATCTTTTAAGTATGTGAATCTACATTTCTGATTTCTAAAGGCGGAAGATATCAAGAGCCGTTTAGAAAGTATATATCAACAGCTTTCTGATTTTGAGGAAATAGAATGCATGCAAGATGATCGTGTGAATATATTGGAAATGCTAGAAATTCTTCAAGAAATGCAAAATGATGCAAAGTCTATTCAGACAACTGCATTCCAGCTAAACCAAAAAAGAAATGATATCCAAAATCATATTGACTTACTGCAGAAATCAGTAGACTTATTAAATTTAGAATCCCCAGATACTGACTCAGAGAATTTTGATAATATGAATCAAAATGCTTAGCAGCACTTCGCTCCAAATATTCATAAGCAAAATGTATTTAAAAAAATTGTTTTTAAGTAAATCATCAAAATATTGTTTTAAGATTGCTGTATTACTTATGTATTTATTTCAATACTTGCTCTGCGATTTATAAAAAACTATTCTTAAGTAAATCATCAAAATATTGTTATAAGATTGCTGCGTTAAATATATATTTATTTCAATACTTATTTGCCGTTTATAAAAAACTATTTTTAAGTAAATCATCAAAATATTGTTATTAGATTGCTGCATTAACTATATATTTATTTCAATACTTGTTTTTTTTTGAATACACATATAAATAAATATACATCAATAATTAACATTAATAAATTTTTAAATTGTAAAATAATACACACACAAAGTTTATATAAACACACATACAATGTAAGTATAAATACAGAGATTACTATCACTTTGATTAGAAAATTATTAAATAATACGAAATGTTTAAAAATATTTAAAATGATTCTATTTCTGGTTCTGGTCCTATATTATATAAAATTACATAAGAAAAAAAATAGCTAAATAAATGGCTTCGAGCTAATATATAAATTTTTAAGCTATAAATGATTTAACACGCTATCCTCCACGACCGATATGCAGCCATGCCAGTAAAAATTGTAAGGCCAGCTGAAGCAGAACTAGTTTTCAGATATCGGTATTTATACTAATGCGCGTTAAGAATTCACCATGTGAATCTGCGACGGCTCGTATTATTTCAAGTAATAACTCTCGGGATAGCGCATTTAACTTTGGCAATTTAGCTACTTTTGTAAAATCTTTCACAATTAAATTCAACGCATACTCTTTTATATCATAAATTTTTGTAATATCCGACGCCTCCAGTGTTTGTAGAACATTTTCATACGTTATATTATTTTCAAGTGAAAATTTGCAGAATGCATATAAACGATTATTGGCTAAGCCATAAAAACACGGTGCTTGAAAAAGATATAAAGCATCTTGAGGTGGTAGTTTCGTCTCTCCATAATATATATAACGCAATAACGACTGAAACGCTTCAAGAGATGGAGATATTTCACCAATTTGAATCTATAAAACATTAAATTAGTACTGATAATTAGTAAACACAACTAAAAGCTTACATTAACGGTATTATCTGCAGGCATAAATGATCGAAACATTCCTTGAAAATACGTACAGCGAGCCGATAATATCGATTTGTGGGCAAGTATAATTTGATCATCTAAGACTAAGTTAATGTCACAAAAATCCTTACCAGCCGATTCCAAAAAAACAGCCATATCGCTTTCCAATGTGGTGCCTTCAAAATATAATTTAATATAGAAATATATACATATTATTTACATATTATATTATAGCACAATACTTTAATAGAATATGAGGTGTTTTTAAACCCAATTCGTTAGCCTTACAAAAAACAAAATATATGTAAAAGTTTTAATGGAATGTTTGGGTTTTAAAATCCAACTTGGTAGTGTTACAAAAACAAAACATACGTAAAAGTGTGTAGAAAACCGAGTTTGATTTGAATATTTCCTGTTTATATTTAAGAATTTTTATTAAAATAAAAATTATGCAAATCTAACAGTTTTAAAAAAACACAAGTTTTAACTTAGATGCAATAATTTTAATAAATGATCAGATCTACAACACTATAAAATTACTGAATGTGATTTGCCGCTATTATTATTACAGAATTATAAAAATCTACTCACCCACACTTTTTTCAGCACTAGCATCTACAACAATTTTACTTGGATTTAACCGTCTCCGTACAATCTCAACTATTAAAGGCTTATCCAAATCCCCAAATTCACTCGACATAACAACATCAGTAAAGTTCTCATCTTTAACAATAAATTGCATACAATTGTCCTTAATAATCTGTATTCTAAAAAAATAATTAATATTAATAATCATCGGTAATAAATTTAAATAAATTATATTACTTATTTTTGTCGGCATTATACAACGCTTCTAAAACATTTTGTTTATTTATCTTGAAATCCAAATACTGTATGCAACCTTGTGCAAGACGAGGCATCAAAAATAGGCCGGCCAGTTGATATATATCTGTTATAAGAATAATAATATTCTTACTATACGAATCCTTTAAATCAATTCTATCCGTATAAATATAATTCAAGATAATTTCGAAAGCTTCTGGTGATGCATTTGCTAAACGCACTTCCAACATTGGCACACGATCACCACCGCTTCCACTTAACGAATGCATATCTACACCAGCACCAAATACTTTTTCTACTTGCTGCTGTCGTGCATCTCTGGCTGCCAAAATTTTTGTTCGTAGATATTTTGAGCGTGCCGCTACAAATGCAATGTGTGCTAAGATTTTTATTTCTTCTGGACCAACAACAAATTGTATATCACAAAATTGTTTTTCATTAAAAAACTTTCCAAAATCATCTCGTAAAGTACATTTTGGATAGCTCGAAAATTGAAAACGGTAAGTGTCACCTCGTCGAACGCTATTGTCGACAGTTCCACCGAATATATACATAGCATCCCCTATTACAGCGCTAGCATGAAATACACGACCAGATGGTACATCAGAATTAGCCTCTGGTGTAATAACTGACCACACTTGTGTATCTAAATCATAACAGTGCAAATCATTTGGTAAAGTCGAATCAGCTGATCCACCAAAAACATATAAGAAACGATCATGATGGACCATTGTGTGTCCATAACGTCTTGATGGAGGTATAGAAGAAGCACCTCGTAATACGTGCTCATTGGATATACGCCGCCAGCTAAATATAAAAGGAGTTATTTATTATAAATAAAATCGTTAAGCGTTAATAGTTTTTGCTTACGTTTTTGTTTTAAAATGAAATTCAAAGAGAGAGTTTGTTATTTGCAAGCCACTTTGTCCTGAAAAGACATACATGCAATCTCGTGCCACCGCCGCTGGGAAATTACAACAGGTTGGGGGTCTATCTCCTTTTTGTTCAATTTGTTCCCATTGATGATTTGAGCCCTTAAATTTGCAAGAAATATATAAACATTTATCAGGAAATAGATCTGAATATAACCTGCATGTAATATATTACAAAAGCAATGGCAAATAAAAATATTTTCTAGGGAATCGCCTTCATGCCGCAATCCTAACTACCCTACTGACCGTACATTGAATCAAAACTTTTATACAACCTATAAGAACTGCTTTAATGTTATCCTTAACAAATTTTTTCAATCTATCAAAATAAAATGTATAACTCCAATAATTAAGATCGTATATTTCAACTTGTATTGAAAATAATTAACAGAAGCTTCTTTACTTTTAAAAACAAGGGCGACGAATAACTTCATAAAGAAGTTAAATCTTCTCATTAATTTTTTCGTTCTTTTATTTGCATGTAAAGAAATTGCCATTGCTTAAATATACAATTGCTTCTGTACAAGTATACAGCACAAGGCAAATTCTTAACGGTTTCGAAAAATTTTTGCAATTTTTCTTAGAGTGATATTGTATACATCAATTTAAAATAAGAATCAAATCAAATGCACAATTAAATATATATGCTTACGTTTAAATTAAGTGTCCACATATCATTTAAACGAGCATTACCATCGTAGCCAGCATAAATCCACATTTTGTTGTCATAGATAGCCGCACCATGTGCAGACCGCGGTACAGGCATTCTAAAAAACATTTAAATTATCCACAATTCCTCTTATTATATTATATTATATTTTACACAAACCTTCCTGAGAACTTCCATTCTACCCACATGGCGCTTTGGAATTTATATTCAAACAAATCATTTTTATTTGTTAAGTTTGAATTGGAATGAATATCGCCAGTATAACCACCAAATATGAACATGGAGCTTCCGTGAACAACAGCCGAATGGTGATAACGCGGCGCAGGCGGTGTGCCGGTGGCACAAGCACGTCCCCAAGATTTATCTTTTACACCAAAACGAATTAAATCGTTAAGCATAGTTTTCCCATTATCTCCACCAAATACAAACATTGCATGTTTGTATGCAACTACAGTATGTTTACTCCGTCTAAATTAATAAATTTCATATATTTAACTAGTATATATAACAAACATATATAATTAAAGTATATATTTACTTCGCTCCAACAAATTCAGCACATTCTAACATTTTAGTCCATTGATGTGTTGCTGTATATGCGCTAAAATCAACATTTAACGCATTACAACTGTAACTTCCTGGTGAAACTGATTTACAACTACTTGTCGCATCATAATTGACACCTCTGCCACTGCTAGTGCCACGCATTGAACTTGATGTCGAATGTGACATTTTGCTTCTCGATGAAGAACTTTTTCTACTTTTACGACTTCCTGTTGTATTGCACTTTTCTGCACCTGTTGCCTGTTGACATGCAGGGCAAAACGGTGCACCACCACCACTTGCCGAATTGCTGCATGCAGCACTTAAGCTACTGGCAACTGAGCTCGAGCCGCTGCCAGCGCAAGATGCGCTAAAGCCTTAAACAAAGTACATTTTTATAATTAATATTAAGACGCAGTAAAATTTTTTTTTACCACCTGCACCCCCTCCACTGTCCTCTGTTGAGTCTGTAGATTCCGAGCCAAGTATGGCTTTTAACATAAGCGCATTACAAGTATAAAATCTCTTTCGTTGGCTTATTTTGCTGAATTTTTCTTAACACAGTGGGGAAAAGAATAAATACTATATAAAATATTGACGCCCACACAATTTTTACTCGGTAATGATGTATTGTAACTTTCTATTTAAACTATGCCACAACTTCCCACTTTTGTAAAAAAGAAGAATATTTCTTATTTATAACTTTATTTGTACTAATTTATTGTAAAAACAAACTTTGTGATCATCATTTTCATATTTTTATAAAAATGTATACTAAGACCAATTGGACTTCAAATCTTACTACAGCTGATGGCTGCGTTTAAGACGGCCAAACTTATGCAGTGTTGTAAATCGATTTATAAATGTTTAAGTGTCTGCATTTCACAAAACCTGTGAACATTTTTTGTAGATGTATATTTAGTTAAGAAACAAGTGATTAATCTGAGTTTAGATTATTTTAGGCTAAAAAGTTTATCATAATTATCTTGTTTATCCAAATATCTTAAAGTCATGTTATACATGTTATAATCATAATTATTAATTATTAATCATGTAATTTTACGCTCTTTTTGGACATGACGAAAAGGCATGTTAAGGTGCATTCACACCAAAGCGAACTCTTGCGAATGAACGAACATTCGCAGGTAATGAATACCACCCTTTGTAGTTGAAATAGTCCGTGTCATCTACAGCAGTGGGCCTCACTTCTATGTGACATCTAACTAAAACATAAGAAACATAAAAATGGCAACTTTTATTTATAATCTGTAAACTTTCCTATAACTGCAATACATTAATGTAATCCAATTTTCCCTTATCTTTCTTACAACACAATTGTACAATTATTAAATATACAAAAATTGCGTATAGATATAACACCCAATTCCACAATCTTAGTGTGTCCTTCATATTAAAGTATTCCGTTTTTGTATAAGAATGCATAGATTTAACATATGCAGGTGGCGTTTTATTATTAAACTATGCAACAATTTTTTTTCTGTGACGAACTTGAATTTGAGCTTATAATTAAAGCAATAATTTCTTCTTTAAAAAATTGTTACTTAAAACACTATGAGTGTTGAGTGGAAATTTTTTTTTATTGCTATTGAAACTTTCATCAAACACACGAACCAAAACACAAAAAGACAAACGTCAAAATTAATCTCCACTGTTAATGTAAACGGTGGAGATTAAAAATACAGATTAACTTAATCCCGTTCTCTTAATCTCCAATGTAAATGTAATATAAGTAATAAACATGATATTTAAGGTTAACAAAAGAGTAATTTAAGGATTAAGTTAGCTGTATAGTTGTACATGCTAGCACATGCTAACTCTCGACGACAACATGGGAACTTCAAAATTGCCTTTTTAATATTTTAAGTTTTTGTAGCATTGTCAAATCAAATATATATATCATTTAATTTGTTAATAAGTAACATTATATTTTGTTAAAATTTTAAAAATATGTTTAACAATTTTGAATTAAATTAGTATTACTTATTAACAATTGAAGAGTTAAATCACTGATGTTATGTCCAATTACAATAAAATTTCTAAATTTATTTATATAAATTTATTGTAGAATAGCGTGATGTCACGATAAGACGTGTGGCTAAATGGTTTAAAAATTGCATTTTATTTCGAAAAATAAAACTCATTCATTCTTATGTTCTTTGGTAAGAAGAGTAAAATAATTATGAATGAAATGCAACTATGAGTGTCAACCGTGATCGCAGATAGTTTTAAAACATTCCGTTATTTTCTTTTACATAAGCGCGAAAAAAATTGTCTTTTAGTAGCTAAAGAGAGAAATAAAGAATTATGCGTTTCTATACTCTTTTAAAAAACGGTGGATGTGCTAAGGTAATAAAATAAATTGCCATAATAATTTTGCTTTATTATTTGAATTAATTAATGTATAGAGAATTGGGGAAGAGTTTGCTAAGGAGCTCTTGGCATGCTCGGACAATTTTGACGGAATCTATAACATGGCGTCTCAATTCTCTAATGAGTGTTTCCAAGCAATTGGGTTTGAATGTAACATTTCAGCATTTGATATTGAAAATTTTAAATATAAATGGCCGACAGATTGCAACATTTATATATTTCCATACAATGCTATTTATTTTAAAAAGTTCGAGCAATTTCTAAGCTTTTTATGTCAATCACTGCACGAATTTCAAGATAAATACATGTACTATGATGCAGCTTATATGGAGAAAAATGAAAGTCCAATAGAATTATTCACGCTTATGTTAGCAGGTTGGTGTAATATTTATAGATGTTTACAAGAACAAAATGAAAATGTTGCTGAACGATTTGATGAGCCTCTTGCACGAATCAGTAAAAATAATTGATTTCTCTTTTGAATTGGTTGATATATTATATATTTGTTATAGATTATCAGCTTTTATTGGGTGCAAATAAAATGCGTATAGACTATGGAGATGATTTACCACTACTCCATAAAATTTGTGATAGACTATACCGAAGTGCATTAAACGGCATATTGTAAGTATTACTACTGTTTTCAAAATATTAGTCGACGTATATACATATGTATAATAAATATACCAAATAATATTATTAAAATTTCATGATAGGTACTTTATCAATGAATTTTTAAAATTAAATGAACAAATATTTAATAGTCATTTGTAAACACGGAGTAATTAGTAAATAATTCTTTTTTAATCTTGAAAGACAAAAATTTTCAAGATTGTATATAGTACGTTAAAAAAAGTATTGTTCAAAATTTAACTATATAATATAGTCATCTCTAAAAAGATAATACAATATACAGTAAAACTTCCATAACTGGAAGTACCATTTTGCAAAGAAAAGGTTCGACTTATGAAGACTTCAAATTAAAAAATTGTATGTAACTTCCTCTCTAAACCCTGTTGTATTCTATTTTGTTGGAGTTGTAGAAAATTCGAGTTCTGGAAGTTTGACTGTATAATATTTAATACTAATACAGGCACGTAATCAGGGAGGTGAACGTCAATAAAGTCCCCAAAATAAAACCTATGCCTATATTTGTACAAAGGTATATTCGTTATTAACGTACCATGGTTAATTAATAAGACATACTTTTTCTTCAAGTTTATGATATATGAAGGCTCTCCAGAAGCGGATTTTTGGCTAAGGGTCAATTACTGACACTATAAACAATACGCTAATACATTGTTACATACGATGAAAGTTTCTTACTCTTATTTACTATTAGCATTTTTATATTTGTAGTTGTTTTTTATATTGGTTATTTACTTTATGTCATAGTCTTATATTCCTTATAAAATTTTTGTTATAAATTATTTAAGAACATACTAATTAATACAAATGAACTTACTAATATAATATAAATTTAAATCATGTGTTTATAAAACTCGATTCCATAAACTTTTCTTTATTGTTACAGCTACGATCAAGCAATAGATGAAATTGTCAATGGATTACTACAGTTATTCGAAGAGCATTTTGAACTTTTTTTTAAAACATCACCCGATTCATTAAATTTTTATAATGAAGTTTTAAATGTTAAGGTAAGTAAATTTTTTTAATTAATCGAATTAAATTGAATTTTTAAATCAATTTATTCTATAGGATCATTATAAATATTACTATCTCGTGTACAGAAGATTGGAGCAAATGCTTCATCGCTATGCAAATGAGAGCAAACTTCTAATTTTAACGAATTTTTTAATAACAAAACATATGCAGACAGTATATTTTACAACAATTAAGAAAGAACCAAAACGAGTTGTGAATGCTGCATTAGAGTTTTTATATACTTTAAATAGGTATTTTGTCTTTTAAAAATATTTGTCAGTCTAATAATAGCAATTACATTTTCATAGCACGGTTTTGGATGCGAATTGTTTTTTAAATCCCTTAATTGAATCTATTTTAGAATTGGTTTTAAAAAATGGAAGTCGCCTAGCAGCAAAAGTTTATATTGCCATTGTAGATAAAAAAATTGATAATGATTCCATAATGAAACACATATTAGAATTTATTTTTAGCAAATCTGTAAGTGCAAATTATTAAAAAATGAGCATAAGACGTTAAAATAATTTTTTAGGTTCCTATATCTAAAATATCAAACTTGGTTACAATATTATGGATATATTTTCCCCACATGCGAAACTGTGATTTATATTTTAAAATATTATTAGATGATAATCTAAATCTAAATATGCGATTTTCCAGTGCACATTTTCTTGTTGCGGTTTATAATAAAATGTTGAACGATTTTGGTAGTATACATTATTAAATATTATATAATAATATACATGCTTTAATAAATCTTTATAGGAAAATATAAACAAAATATTGAACACACATTAAATATTTTATTAAACAACTTTGATAAAATACACAATAATACTTTAACTGGTATATTATTGCATATATTTGCAAATACAAAGCTGACAATGTTAAAAACTCACGTTATAAACTACGAATTGGTAGGTTATAATAAACATATTTTTATTCTATTTATCAAATTATTTGATGTATGTTTTTATTTAGATGTTAGGTAAATTCGAGGATACATTAGCTAAACTATTCTTAACAGATAAACACATGAATTATCCATGGCTTAATAATATATTTGTGGAATTAAATCGTTGCCTTGACAAAACAGCAAATTGGGCAGTATTGGAAGAACTTAGCATTGATATTTATAAGGAATTTGAATTTATTGATAAGCAAATACAAACTTTGGATCCTAATAATAAAGTAAAGAATCAAACATAAATTAAGATTTTAATTTTTTTATTCTTTTTCTTTTGTAGAAACTTTATATAAGGATTTTGGAATCTTACATTACTGTTTTACAAAAACTAAATATTATTTCTAAAACAAATTATGATCTTCTCGATGATGAAGCTAAAATATTACATAGCCTAAAAATGCGAATAATAGATCAAACAATAATGAACGTGGCTGAAAAAAGTATTAAAAATAATATTGGTAAATATTTAACAAAAATGTTATTCTGTATAATAATTTCATTATTATTGTTTTTTGTTATCTATGTTTACATTATATATTGTAAATATAGTAAGAAGTTGTAATATTAATTGTAAAAGTTTAAAAAACAAGTAAAGTTTTTAAATATTGTTAACTAATTGAAATTTCTTACACATTTATTACATACTCTATAAAAAACACCTTAAATGAAGAATTATAAAATAAAATATAACTACATTAACAAGTTTCATTTAAATATTCACTTCCCATAAACTTATTCCAGATGCTTATGGTGTGGAAATAATAACTTCATATCTTATTAAATTGTGTCAAAAATCAGAATTAAATCTTGTTTTTGCCACTGAACTTGCAGAATCATTGGAAAAGTTTTGTTTAGATTTTTTACAAACATTCAATAATTCTCAAAAAATACCTATTACATGTGTTCAATCGGTAATGTATTTATTATATGTATAAGTATATTATTTTTTAAACCATTTTATTTGAATAGCATTTTAGTAGCTTGATAAATTTATACTGTGAATTAATGCCAGAGTCGAATTTAGCCTTATTAACACTCAACAGTGAATCTTATCATATTCTTCTCCATGTTTTAATTTTTGTAATATTTGAAAAAAAAAGTTTGCAATTCGAAGATTATTCTAATATGAAATCAAAAATGCACCCAATTCGTATATATGAATATCAACAAATTATTTTAAATCAGTTTATTTATCTACATTCACACGAAAATCTTAATATACCGTCAAAAACAATATGGAAGTTATGTATATATTATGAATTGGTATGTATTATATATATATATATATATATATATTATATTCTTTAATAAAGTTGTATATTATTACTAAATATTTTTAAAATTTTAATAGCCACAAAAAAAATTTGATGAAGAATTAAAACAATTATTGCAAACTCTTTCTCTGCGTCAATTTAATTTATTTAAATATATTTTGCCAGTTATTGTCTTTAATTTGCACACAAAAAGGTATAATCTTTCGGAGTTAACCATTTTGGTAAATACTAATAATATACTTTATATGTGACATCGAAATATATTAATTTTGAAATTTTTATTACAGAAAGTAATTAAGAAATATAATTTATTACTCGATGATTTACCTAAAATAATGAAGCCATTACTGCTCAAAATCCATTTAGTATTGACAGTTTTACAAATGACTAAAAAATCGTTGGAAATTTTTGAAATAAGAAGCAACAAGAATAACAACAATCGATTAAACACTTTAAACTATTTATATATTTTCATAGAAAATATTGATTTCCGTACTAGTGATGTTGTACAAGATATGTTAGTATATGGCATAATATTTCTCTTATTATATATATTAAATAATATTCAATATTTTTATAGAACTACAGAAGCTGAAAAGTTACGTACACATTTTCTTCATTCAAAAGAACAACAAACTTTACGAAAATTTTTAAATGTTGTAACTAAATCTAAAAAGTATTCGAGATGAAATAATTGAAGCAATATCATTATTTGTATTTGCGAACAAAATAAGTAAGTTAATTTATTTTTTTTTTATATTAAATTTCAAAATGTTAAAATTTTATTTTTATGTACTAATTTTAAAATTTTTTTAATATTTTTATAAATAAATTTGAATATATTTTTGCTTTATATACAATACATATAATTAATGTATAGATAAAATAATATTTAAAAATAAAAAACATTTTCGTTAAACATTAATATATGAGATATTGGTCTGAACTGCAAATTTATTAAGGCCAACCTTAAAATGAATTACACTTATCTTGTTGATTCAAGATAATTTGATCAATAATTAAATAGATAAATTAAATACTGTACTTCACACCCATAACTATAATAATGTATTCATATTTATGTATAATTTACCAAAAAAAAATGTATTTTTAATTGATTGTATTAATAATCAACAATAAAGATATTTACTTGAACGTCCTTAACTCCTTATTTGATGTATGGTTACACGCAGTTTATAATGTGAATTAAAATGTCCTTAAAAAATTTAAAAAACAGAATGCGGCTTATCAACAAAGGAATAAGTTTTACTTTACATCTAAAACATATCAATCAATATTTAAATTTATAATCAAATTTCGATCACATTATGTGTGACAAAATATTATTGATGGATATTTAAATACTCTTTCAATTTTAATGTCAAGCAAAATTTCATAAGTTGACGTCACAGAGTTTATTCTTTGTTATTAAAATAAATCATAAATAAGTAATTAATATTTTATAAGTTAATTATGAATAATTATTAATTATCCTTATCAGAAGTTTCAATGATAATTTCCCAACAAAAAATAATCTTAAGTAATGAAGAAATCACTTTTTCCTCATAAATGTCAATTTATACAAGTTTCACTAATATTAAATGAGTATTTCTTTTGTAAGAATATTTTCTTGTACTCAGTATATTGCCTACATTTATGAAGTGAAATCATAAAGAAATATATGCTATATTTAATATGTATTTTCTTAATACGCACCAATTTGTACTTTAAGAAAGTAAGAATCTGCATTACTACTTGGCACCGGCATTAAAGAGCTACTACTACTTTTGATAACGTTTTAAAAAATAATTCTATATAAGTGTTGAGGAATTATTAGATACTTCATAAATTAAATATGTATGTACATATAAAATGAAGCGTAATTATTTATATTTTTATTCGATTTAAACGTAATACTTACATATACTTGTAAGTATTTTTATTCTCTTAAGCACATTTCAAGCTCTAAAAAATTATAACTAATTTTTGTTTATACTTAGTGAATAGCCAAGTTGATTCCAAGTTTGATATAATAAAACTCTATAATCAAAATTCGTATACTTTAATACTTTACTTAAGTTTAAAATAACGTTATATATAATGCTGGTTGGGTTGATAGATATGTCTTAACCACATTATCAATTTTTTACTAATTTATTCTATAATCTTTTTTTAGAAACTTTAGATTTTAATAAAGAATTTTCAATATGATTTGTACTATAATATGTATTGTAGGTTGTTGTTATAGTCAAACGCCGACATAAAAGTTACAATATAAAAAGTTGACAAAATATCACGATTGGGATGGGGAAAACATGTTGTAAGATAGAAGAAAGATTAGATATTTAATTTAACCTGGACAGTGGTAAAAATATCTTGGCATCTCAATGGTACGGGGTCATAATTCAATAGGGCTCAAATTTGTGTGAGAATTAGATCGTAACAGCAAATGGGTAACACTGTGTGAAGAAAATCTGTAGTAAGAACAAATATTGGGAGTGAAAGTAATTGTGTATAACAATTAACTAAAAGTAACAATTAGCACGTAATTATATACTTATCTTAGTTGAATAATGGATTTGCTAGTTCCGAAAAGAACTGTATTCCGTGTTACTTAAATATTCCATTTCGACTTGCAACTTATGTACTCCAAGTCTAAGCTACATTATCATACTTTCGACTTTTTACTTTAATATCAATATTCTGTTGGCAAGTAACTCTTAATAGTTCTTCAAAATATTAAAAATTTCACAGACATCTATTATAGTTTAGATTTACTCATTTGTTAGTAATTGAAGCAGGGTTTAGTACTATAGCATTTGTGCTCAAATACGAGGGAGACGACTCTCGCCATATAAGTGAAGTAGTTGAGGTCTATTACTTGATTTTAAGCGTAGAGATTCCGTTTTTTTTTAATTATTAGTTTTTAATCAAACTTCTAGGCACTTGTTTAATCTAGATGGGTTGTCGACGATTTTCAGGATATGTCGATAGCTATTAATTAAGAAAATGTGCACATTTGTCTAGTGCACTTATACACTTTTGTTGTTTCAAAGATTGTAGTTAAATTCCAAATACTTTACATTTAGCAAGCTTATAACTTTAATGTAAATTTTATCCTGGTTTCTTGTGGTGTGATATGATTGCTTAAAACCCTCTAAATGAGCCGTTAATAAAAAATGGTAGATATTAAAGAGAGTTAATGTTTCGTCATGTAGTTTTTTTTATAAAGTTTTTTTATTAACTAAATACGGAATTCCATTTTGATAAAAATACTGTTAAAATACTGATTTTTACAGCCTTATTATAGAAAAGTATGAGCAACAGATCTGTATTCAGTGAATTAGTTTTTTTCTAACATTTTGATTTGTACTAAACTGTTATTAAACATTAGCATAAAAAAACTTTATAATTTACTTAAATAATTCAGTTTGATATTGAAAATGTCTCTGACAAAAGTGGGTCCTCTAGTGAATATTTTTATGTTTCAAACAAGACATTTTTATGTCCCAATTAAATATAATATAAGAAATAAAGTTCTATTACCTAAAACATTGTAATGGTTTTCATTGCAAAGTGCGCTTACATATACATATTTTATTTATATATCAATAAAATTAAATTAGAAAAATAGTGTACTATAACACTATGTACACTTGATTAAAGTGTTGAAATGATTCTCATTGCAAAAAGCGCTTACTATACTTGTACATATTTTATTTCAATTAAATATAATTCAAAAGATGAAACTCAATCTAACTGCTCTAAAAATATGTAATAATAATAAGCACAGCAAGAAAAAGTGCTGGCTAACTGCACTAAAAATACAGTATCATAATAAACATATTTAAAAAAAAATGGCTAGCTAACTGCACTAAAAATACAGTATCATAATAAACATATTAAGAAAAAAGTGCTAGCTAACTGCGCTAAAAAATATTTTTGTCGAAGAAACTTGTATGTTAACATTTTTAATATTAAAAACAAGAAAAATATTGTATCTTTGGAGTTCTAATATTGGAAAGAAATATGAAAGGATAGTCTATACAGATTGTTATCACTTTTATGTATTAGGCTATGGACCTATTTACACTATCATGAACGTGAGATGAACTTGACGACAACATGAACTGTCAGTTCAGTTTACACTGTCATGAGCGTGAAATTTGTTTTGTTTTGTGTAAACGTATAAAATGCTTGTGTGTAGTAGTGCAGAGCACAAATTGAGAGTATTCAGCATTAAAAGGTAAATATAAACATAACATTGCATATGTATGCGTACCAAGCTGTAGAAACGCAGCAAATTTCATTGCGTGAAATTCATGAACTCATATCACACTCTCTTCCATCTCTCATCTTTAAGTAACCGGTTTTCAAGTTCATGTTCATGTTCATGTTAAGTTCATGATAGTGTAAATTGGCCCTATGACGGTTGCTATTTAAAAAGAAGAAATCAACACCGTTTGATAACAATTTATAAAGTTAATTGAATCCAAACAATCTGTACTCAAACTAAAGAAACAGTGAAAAAAAAAATAAAGAAGATGCTTATTAAAGAAAATTATCTCTGACTTAACAAGTCGAATATATTGTATGAGTATAGTGCTTACAATGTTTGAAAGATATAAAAACTAATTATATTATATAGTACTATACTGTACATGCTAAGAAGATAATACGTACATATGTTGCTATCTTATTATATCGCATTATACCGTATAACAGTTTGTTGAGGAAGATTTTTACTATGGCAAAATAATAACTGATTATTGTAATAAAATACTTAAAATATTAAAAGCAGACCAAAAGACGAGCGTCAAAAAACTGATATTTGTTTTATTTTACTTTATTTTATTTTTTTATTATACAATTTCTAGGCGTGAAAATTGCGAGTAACTTTAGAGCTCGAGTGTTGTTGTGATCGAACGCATAAAGACAGCCACTCAACGTTTTGTAGAATTGTAGAATTCGTTACTGTTTTGTTATTATTGTCGTAGTAGTTACACTAAGCGAGGGCTTGCTTGCGGAGGTATTTGTGCCTCGAGTTTATATATTGAGTGATTTATTTGTTTAATTTAAAAAAAAAATTTTTGAGCTCAAAGTAAAATCGAAAATTTTAAAATATAATAAAGAAAAAAAGCAAAGAAAATTATTTAATCACACTAGAATTCGCTCGATATTTAGCAGTAATACGTTGAATTTAGTAACGATCGGACACGGAATATTTAAAATATTGAAAATTGTAACATTTTCTTTATATTGCCGTTGTTTCGAGATTTTTTATTATCATTATTATTATTTTTTTTTTTGGAAGTGAAATAACGATTTTTAAACTTAAAAAAAAATCTAACATTAATTGGTTAACAATATTTATATTATAAACGAAAAAAAACATATTTTTTTAAATTTGTATTAAAGCCATGTTATAGTTAAATTTTTTTTTCATAAATCAATATAACTATTTGTGTAAATTTTAAACAAAAAAATACAAAGGATCAAAGGATAAAAATATTGGAGAATAGTTATTGGAAAAAAAATGTATGTATAGCAATTAAAATTGGTACTTATTTAAAATCGCTAGAATTTAAAAAATAAACTTTGAAAATACCGTTTGTTTGTTCTGGTTAGTGTTAAATAAAATATATATTTAAAAAAATAATTATATACTATAGTGAAATAAATATTAAAACAATACCTATTTAAAAAAATTTAGAATTTAACTAAAAAGTTAAATAATTTTTTAAAAAGGATTTTTTTGTATATAAGTTTTATTAGAGTTCAATATTTTTGATTTGAAATTAAAAAAACAACGACTTATACAAATTAAATTTAATAAAATATTTTTAAAATATCAGCCAAAAATTCAATTAATTAAAATAATATAAAAAATAAAATTTTTGTTGTTGTATTTCACTACTGTTCGAAAAAACCTCTTTATAAAATATTTTTAAAATTATGTTTTGTGTATATTTTTATATTTTCTTACATTAACATAAGACTTAATAATAAATAGTGATAGATTGATTTCATTGAGATTACATAGGCCTCCTAGTCCCTACCGGTAAAAATAATTATATTATATATAAATAAGCACTTAATTTTATAATGAATAATAAAATAATTTCAATTTTATTTATTAATAAATAAATATCAATTTTTATTTGTTATTTATTAATATTATATTTTCTCACATTATTATAAGACTTAACAATAAATAGTCATGGAGATTACATAGACCTCCTAGTCCCTATCGGTAAAAATAATTATATTATATATAAATAAGCATTTCATTTTATAACGAATAATAAAATAATTTTAACTTTATTTATTCCTCTAAATATTAACAAATAACAACTACAGACTTCTGTTGTTCGAGATAAAAATTACTAAATATTTACTTTTTTATTTAAAGTAATCTTATATTCAAATATGAAATTATCTAAAATCTAAAATATGTAACACATAAAACAAAGCTATAGATGTGAATTATTAAATACTGAGATCCAAAATTAAATGTTTGCAATAATTGCAAAATTTATTAATATTTTGCCATATAATATTTGTTTTGAATTAAATAAAATTTTTTCTATTTCGTTTAAATATTTCTTTTATGTTTTTAATTGTAAAAATTATAATTAATAAATTAATAATATTTTTGAGCACAAATAAATATTTTCAATATTTCAATATCTATTAAAAGCTTGGTTTTTATATATAAAAACCATTTATTAATAAACTTTACTTATCGCAACACATTGTATTTATAGTCAAAAAATAAGATTAATACTTAACATTGAACTAGTGTAGTGTTAATTATTTTCGAAGAATATATTTTCCTTTGAAGAATACCCATATGCCTTAATAGAGCTAGCTATTCATTATAACTTTAAAACTTTATACTTTACAAAACCGTTTTATGAATACGTATTAAAATTTTCTTCCATTTTGTACAATTTTTATTAACCAACAAATAATATGCTAGGTGGAATTAGTTTGTGTGAGTGTCACGGAATCCTTATCCATTAATAATATTAGTTTTGATTGAATAGAAGCTTTTTATTTTGGGCATTTAGCAATCAATATATATATTTATTTTTATTATATGAATCGAACATGAATTATTATATAAATAGATTAGATTGAACTACATAGACTACAAAGCTACATAGTTATGGTCATTGGCTTCCTTTATTAGAACTCGACACAGTATGGATTAGTCAGTAGTGATACCACATAATCCAAAATGACATCACTTCTCGTTTAAAAATATTGTCAATGTCACTAATTTTGTTATCCTTGTTAAATAAACATTGGTGACATTTAAAACATGTTTCAATTTATAAACAAATTATAATTTATTAAAATCATCTATTTACGATTTTTGTTAGTTTTTTAAGAACACAGCCTCTATATATACTCGTTGGAAATAATCCATTTTTATAATTAAAACTTTTAACATACAATATTATATGTAAAAATATAAATATATCAATATAATTATAAATAATAAAAACAAATATAAATATAAATAAACATATATGTGTATATAAATATAAAGTGCACATTGACTTGGTGCTAATGTAAACAGGCTCAATTTCTGACGCTTGCAGTCCAAAAATTATATTCCGCGTAATAAATCTTTACATATTTCTAAAGACGATTGATCTTAAATATTTGGCAATTTTTGAAACAGTTATATTATTTTATTATATAAAATTCAGATGACTTTTGTAACCAAGAACCGAAAAAAAAAATTTTTAATATAGGTTTAATTTAATATATGGATAGGTACTTAGCTGGGAAATGCTAGAGAGACTGCACCCACCAACCCTCTTAACTGAATTGAAGGTTGTTACATGTTTATACATATGTATATTCATTATTAATGCATAATCATTGCATATTTGCATTTTTTTAAAATTACTGACATTAGCTGCAATCACTTCTAAAGTGCAATTAAAGTATTTGGATGAATTATTTTAAAAACATTAGAAAATCAGTGGCCTTATAATTAACAAATATATAAATAAATAAATGTAAGTTTTTTGATTAAATGCAGACTTTTTTTCGAAACTTTGTATCTCGGTTAATATTGAAACTGGACTCCACCCCCTCCGGTATAATTTTTGTTTTTATTTTTTGTATCAAGAAATCAACTCCAGCTTTCAGTATAATAGGGCTGACTCTTTTTTAATATATATATATAATATGTATATAATGTTTATATAAATTATAACATATGTTATAAATGTATTGAATTTATAAAGATCGTTCCTCTTCATAAATAAAATTATTTATTTTAATAAAATTAAAATTATTATTAAAAATATTGAATCTATGGTGTTCTATTCAACAAAGTTAAAACAAACATTAAAAACAAATATACAATAACTACATTCAAATTAGTATAGCTCCATTAATATGAAGTTTAACAAAAAATGCGTTTCTTTACATTTTAATCATATGATTCAAACTTAAAGAGCCATCCATAATGTTTGTTTCGACAGCTACCTTAAAAAAATGTAAACAGAAAATTTTGATATACACAATCGATAAAATTAAATTCTGATTCAGTAAATTAATTTTTTTATCGAAGAAAACTGCATTAATAGCGTTATATTTAAATAAATATTGTTATAATTTAAATTAATTAACTATTAGCTCCTTATTTACATGAATAATCGTTAATTTACGAAAAATTGATTGATAATTTTATTAGCCCTTGAATTTGGAATTTTTAATTCATCATAATAAATATGTACGATTTAAATATATTTGAAAGGTTTTAAAGTATGTCAGCCTTATCAACAAAATACTAGAACAGCAACACCTCAACACAAATTGTTAGAAGGAAAGTCCTACATACGGACAGATAATGATATATCATAAGATATCTTATAAAACATATTAATTTGCTTCTAATTTGTTTGTATAGAGTTAAATTGATAGTAAATCACAAGTTCTATTTTAATTGATTATATTTGATTTAGATACTTTTGTATGTTCTTATTTGTTTTTTTTTATATATTTTTTATTTATTTTCTTTAAGAAGTTTTTTTTTTTTGATAAAAATGCTTTGAAAAGAATTCTGAATTAATATATTTAAAAATGTTACACTTAAAAATATTTTTATATTTATTTTATTTACATAATATGATATAATTCTGCTATTTTGTTAGTATGTAATATGTTGTTATTTAGTAGATTTTCTTAATGAAAATAACTTTATATGTATATGTTTTTAATATTAACACTTATTGCGTGTATATTTATTATACTACTTTATTTATTTGGCCCTAAAAACCATATATCTGTATATATATTATATATTTTTATTATATTATTTATTTAATTAGTTTCCAGGGGTATATTAAAGGTATATACTGCATGTGTGCCCCCGCTAGTTTTGTACAGCAAGAGCGATTAATGCTTCCTTAATTTAGTTTCCTCAACGGAGACATTGCTTATATATTATATATTAATTACATTTAAGGTTGAATATTTTTCTAATCCATTCTTTCGTTATATTTTTAAATATATTACTTTATACGCTGGTATCATTTATTTCCATATTTTCTTAAGATTTCATATAATGCAATATAATGCAGTATTCATAAAAAATATCTCCATGTAAGCAAAAAAAAAATTAATATTATTTTTTTTTTCAAAAGGTTATCATTTGCAGATGTTTTAATTTATTACAAACAATAATTTAATTGATTCTGTATAAAATAAATGAATTGATAAACAGAAATATTTAAAAACACTTCCCTAAAAATTATATATTATAGACATAGACATTTATAGACATATAAGAAATGTCAAGTCAATGATCTTCATTATAAGCAAGGGAATTTCTCATAGATTTCAAGATACAATATAAAAGATATAATATATAAGATTAATATATATTATATAATATATATAATATAATATAATATATTATATTATATATTATTATATATAACATATATTTTATAATATATATAAAAGTAAATTAGGATTATGTATATCTTACAATTAATACAATCTTTACTATATATAATAGTTTGCTTTAGTACAATATATAATATTGTCAAACTAATTAAAAACTCAAAATACTAATAATAATAAAAAATTTTTAAAAACAAATAAAAAAATATTAAACAAAAAAAAAATTTGTTTAAAAATATTTAGTCGCGGGGTTTGAATTAATTTTCGGATGCTAATGTTTAAATAGCAAAAAATTTTGTTTACGATTAAAGGCACCTTTCAGTCTGAAAAGTTTTGTTGTAAATTTGATTAACTTTTATTTTATTTGCATTTCTTATCATCGTGTAATATTATAATCACTTTCATAAGTAATATAATGTATATTGAATGTATACGTTGCAAATTCAATGCAAATTGTTTATGTAAGATGATTTATATTTTTCGCTTTAAATAATATATTAGAATCAGATCAAAATTTAAATTTAATGTCTTTTTTACTGAAAGTACACTAGCTATATTTACTAACTATAAATTATTTACATATCTATACGTATATTTTAATAAAA